GCTTTATGAAGCCCACAACTTTCAATTTTAATATTTTAAAATAATGATTTTATATCAAAACGTAATGAATAGTTTTCTGTTATTTCATCAGTTTTTTATGGTTTATTTAGAAGAATTATAAGTACGCTTTTATAATTATTACTTGCATCAAAAAATGGTTTTCTAAGTGATCAATTATTTATCAAGGCTTATCGTTACAAAAAACATCAAGAACCCTTAAACTAAATAATAAAATAAAAATATAAATACATATATACAACTTATAAAATCAACAGCTTAAGATTTTGTTAAAAATCCATAATGATAATTCTAATAATTATTAAAAGCCATAATAGAAAGTAAGACTGCTTTTACATTTATTATTTTGGCAATACAATAAAGATTGAATTTTACCATATTATTTATTCTCCTCATAGCATCATTGATGAATATTCTAAATCAGACTATAATAATAAAAAAATAAATACAAGATATTATTTAAGAAAAGAAAAAAAACAATTTTTAACCAAGCCAACGATGATAATTTGTTGACAGTCCTAAGTCTGTAATAATTGGGAAGAAAAACTATGAATTAATAGGTAATAAGTTTAAGTGCATGTATATGAAAATTATATGTAAAAAGTATGTATTGTATAATTATTTTATGTTGTACATAAATTATTATACATAATATATGGTGCGCAATGGTGTTGTGATTTTATCAGGTAAAAAGGGATTGGGGCGGAATCGTAGTGCAATTTTTTTGCGCAATCGTGATGCACCGGTTTTTGTTGTTGTTGAGTAGTTATATAGTATATTGTACAGTTTTTTATACATAGGCATGCACACGGGGGTGGCCGGGTGGGCCGCGGCCTCCCCTGCGGAATCTGGATTTTTTTTCAATAAGTGTACATCTATACTATACAAGATGGCAAACCTTTTTACATTTTACATGAATAAAGTAAAGCCATTTTTAATCTTATAGCATAGAATTCATATCTGTGAATAAATGTAATAAAGTTATTAGTTATTAATCAGACTAATCAGAACTTGCATATAATATAAAAATTGAAGATGTAATTCATGCATTCAAAAACCTTACTCCCGTGGACAGAAGGATGGAGTTGTAAATAGTATAATAATATGTAAATAAGGATTTCTTAGACATAAATTGTGTAAGTTTAAATAGTATTTATTTTTATATTTTCATATTGAATTAAATAAATAATTTATAAAATTTAAAATATTTAATTATACTAGTAGTCTTTAGTACAAGAATCTTTGGTTCACTTTTTTTAATGACCCCCCTGCAGACAAAGTCTGCGCATGTTTGTAAATTACCTGTAACTCTTCTAATGTTTTTGAGTGAAAATTTTGACACAAAAGAAATAATTATACGGTTTAATAATCAGTTTTTAAGTTCAAAACGTATTGAAAAATGTTATAATTTTAGGTTAATGTATTTATTTTTTTGTTATTATGATCTGATTTAGAATATTCATCAATGATACTATGATGAGAATAAATAATATGGTAAAATTCAATCTTTATTGTATTGCCAAAATAATTAATGTAAAAGCAGTGTTACTTTCTATTATGACTTTTAGTAATTATTAGAATTTAACGTTTACTGATAGTTATTTTATAATTATAAATAATTTTATAAATAGTTATTAAAATATTCAATAAATAAAAATAATAAAAATAAATTTCATAAAAAATATCACACCTACGAAAACACGCTAAATATTCAAAAATAGGTATCTAGAATTATTAATTTTTAATATTAAAACAAAATAATAATAATAATATATATATATATTTTATTATTAATATAATAATTAATTATTAATTTAAAATGGGTCTATTATAAGTATTAATGTTTTTCCCACTTTTCCTGTTTTTTTTTTTTTGTATTTATATAAAAATCTTAACTATTTCCAGAGACAATAATTACCTATCACTACAACCAATTATAGATATATATGAGTGACAAATGTTGGAATTTTTATATTAATATTATTATTAATATAAATATAAATTGCCGATTTGCGATAATTAAATTAATAAATAAATATAGGTATTGCTATGACAGCGGTAATTTATCATAATAAGTAGCTAATTGTAAGATCATCGTAATGAAATAATAAAATACGGTAAAAACAGGAAAATACTTAACTTCATCAATTCCTTGAATTTAAGCAAATTAATTTTTTTCAAGTTAAGGTATGATTTGTTAAAGTGAATTAAAATGAATTTCTTTGGTTACAGATATTGACAAAATAATACTATTAGCTGATTCAGATTGAATGTCGGGATATTCTAATTTAGATATTTATCAAAATGAACGCGAGTCGGAAAAAATTTAAGAAATTCTTTAATCTCAAACTAATGATTTCCATGTTGATGGTTTATATACAATAATAATAAGCGCATGGATAAAAAGAATTTGATGCGTAAATACTATACAGCGCGTTAAATTTATAAACGTACAAACTATAATATTGCTGTTGTATATTATTAGAAAATCTTTAGTATCTTAAAAATAGTTAATTACATTATGTAATATTAATAGAAATTTGGAAAACTTCTGCCGACGCAGTTTTTAATAAAAATGTTTACCGTATTTAGCGAGAGGCATTTATGTAATAAAAGTTTTTACAGAAAATATTACAGAATTTTATGATATTTTTAAAATACATTTATTGTTTTTTTGCAAGTGTGGGTTTCAAAATTTAATGGATACTTATATGGTACTTTATATAGTGTTTATATGCTACATGAAAATACGTCAAATTTGCTAAAATGTACGCTACTACATAAATATATCCTTAACACTATAGATAATTCATTTTTTTAATTTTATAAAAGAAAATCCTAATAACGGAACCGTTCAACATTTTATTATATGCATTTTTTTTAGTTTTTTCTGTATTATGAACACAGATCGTCCAATATCGGCTTAATAATTCAGTATTAAAGGTTTTTGAGGGTATTCAATACATATTTGATTTAAAATATTTAGGTAGTAAATAATTATAGTAGCAAAAGCTTTCAAAGTACCTGTATCTTATAGTGGCTGTCTACCTTGACCAACTATCTGATAAATTCAATAAGATCAATAAACAATAAACTAATAATTATAGACTATTGTATTACCGTATTACATCATATAGTATTAATATCAAATCAGTGGTGTTCAAATAATTTGGAGAAAGTAATTTCTATCTCGAATTGTAACATTAAATAATAATGATATTTGTACTAAAAATATTATTTTCAGTGTGTTAAGTTTAATGGTTATTATACATTATAGCGTGTTATTGGTGACATACTGACAGGTGCGTGGGGCTAGAACAAGATATATAATGGTGGATAAAACGTCCGTGACCAGATTAATTATTAGTGGACTGCTTTTTTTACCTGTTTCTAACATACAGTTTAGTTATATAATATGTATCAATAACTTATAAGTTTAATGGAAAAATTGCACCGAGGTACATAAGTAATGCTTCGCTTTACAAAGACCTCAACATCACAACCGTTAAAGAACTAGCTACCACTCACCACAAAAGATTCCATTCCAAACTCGACGCCCACAAAAATCCTCTTATAAAAAATATGTCTTCTCACACACTACCTGAAAACCCAAAACGACGTTTAAAAAGGAACTGGACCCGTGGCCTATTATAATAAATTGCCAAATTACAAATTATAAGGGTGTTGTCAATGGGCCTCTTCCCCAATCATGTTTTATCATATTATTTATTATATTATTATATTATTTATATATATTATTATATTATTTATTATCATATTTACTTATTGTTTTTTTTTATGTACAGATTGAAAATTTGATAAAAAAAAATAAAGAAATATAATAATTTATTTAAACTATTATTTACATATTCTTATAATTGATCATAAACTATAAACCATGAGTAATATTGAATTTAAAACATTATTTTAAATTCCATTTGATGAAATTACACAAAATTAAGATTTTTTTACGAATATATTGCTACTTATTATTTTATTATATTTTTGCCTTATTAGTTGTATCATAATCGCATATACCCAGCATATTATATTTTGTTATATATAACAAAAAAAAAAAAAAAAATGTTTGCACGATTATTTATAATCACAGAGTTCAATTATTCTAAACGTAAATTTAAATTATCGTTATTGATTTCACAAATAAAAATTTGAAATATTTAATTTTAATTTTTAAATAAATATTAATAACGCTGTATAATGTTAGATTTTATTATGCAACTTACAATATTTTTTATACTTATAAAATATTAAATACATTTATGTTCTTAAAAATGAAATTTTGTACTAAATACTTTGTTTAATAAGATTATTTATACTCATATTATTTCATATCTTACATATATTACATATCAATCATATTTTACTTGAAATTAAAAATTAAATTTTATATGATAAATAAATAAGTACACACTTGAGTTATATCTGGATCAATAAAATAGGTTTTATTTATAAAGCCATAAGAATAGGGGCATAACTAGAGGAAGTTAAATGGGTAACACCACTGCTAGAAATTTTAATGAATCACATGTATTCATTTAATTGGTTAAATTCCAACTGACAATATCTTTACGCGCAAAATAATTTAATAATTTACAACGTTAAAATTAGGAAAAATTATGTTTGTAAGCTCAACCCGGAAAATCTCAAGTCTCAATGTTATAAGTCTTAATAATAATTAATCGCTTTTATAATACGAGTATATGTGGCTTATATATTATAATTACCCTATTTGAGAGTATAAATTGAAAAAAAATTAGATTAGGATTCAGGATTCAGTTAATAAGGAAAATCGGACCTAAATGCATGTTAAAAATTATGTGCAAAACGTTAACATTAGTTTGTACTTATTATATAGTTATAATTGTTATGCGAGTGATTCATGGTTTTACTTATTCGTAAGTAAATATACAATAAATAGTATTTACTATCAAACCATCAAGGCACAATATACGGTTGCTCACCTGAGACTTTACAATAAAACGAAACATTTAATGATTGGCATTTGCGTAGGAACTATTGAGTTATTACGTGTGTATGATTATAAATCGTTTCCTTTTCGGCTGTTTGATACGGAATGCAGTTGTAGAGGGCGACGTGTATATTTTATTATGAATATTTAGAGTATACAACGATATCACGGACAATAACTTATGGGTAGAAAAAAACGAATAAACACCTGCAGAAGTCGCGAGGAAAAGAAGTCTGTTCGAGAACAACGTTCAAAGCATGACTGATTTACGTTAGCGTGGTCACGAATGTATATTCCAGTAGAAACGGTGCGTTCCTTTTACTCCAGTTTGCGAACGCAACTTCCCCCGTGCCTATTTATATATTTTTTATTATTTTCTTTACGTAAACGTGGTACAGACACTCACACACACACACACACACACACACACACACACACACACACACACATACATACATGCATGCACACATACATACAATTCTTAATATGGTATATATCACGAGTTTGTAAAAATAATTGTTCACGTTTTAGCCACCGCCACCAATATCAGCTGATTTCAGTTCTTGTCGTATTATTCTTACTATTATAAAATAAGTACCGTACAATATAAAGTAGGTACCTATTATATTATTACTTCGGACAAATAGTCTACAACACTATATTATTTAAATTTTTACATTATGTAAATTTGATCGAACATATATGAATGCAATACTTAATCTAAATTTGTGACGACTAATTCGAGAAAACAATATTAACAAATTGTAAAATACCAAGACGTTATGTTTTTCTTTCTTTTTTACGTTTTCTCCGGTAATTACTCGATTATTTGGTATTTTCTATTTTATGATTTTCAAACCATATATTTTGACCCTAAACTACTTATTATTAAAAAACCACAGATTATAACTATTATATATCTAAACAATTATAATTACGTTGCAATAATGAGTTTTAAAATCTTGCCGGTTTAATATATATATATAAGAAACGCTCAAATTTATCACTTAAACAGTTTGAAAATCACTTGTGAACTTTCGGTATTGCCGTAATATATCAGGTCAAATTCTAAGGAGGACTATGATAGATTATGATGTATATAGCGATATTCTATTTTGATTTTTTTCCATAGGTTTTTACCAAATTATGTATATTTTTTTATTTTTGCTTAGTCAATGTGAAGCGTCTAAATATAGGTACCACAGGTATAGAATTAAATACTTTATATAATTATAGACTATTCTATATAAATTGATTTAAACTAAATATATTTTATAAATGTAGGCCCCAGTTTTACGGTTAAAACGTTAATATGAATAGGGAAATTGTTTTATTTGAAAAATAATAACAACGTTGAAATAAATTAAAATGTACAGTTCAACAATAAAAATAGCATTCGAAATACTTATTTCTATTACTGTTGATTTTCAATTATTAGTTATTAAATTTTTAACAACTGATATAACAGTAAATATGGTACAAAAGTAGATTATAAATGCGGATATTTTATTTTTTGTTAAAATAGTAAAACAGGAATTTCATTGTGTTTTGAAATCCGAAGGTTATTTGGTAACGTATTATTATAGAAAATATATTATGTTTATAGTTTCGAGTGCTGAAAATAACTAAGTAAAGTATACATTTATTTTGTGAATTTTAGTGGCATAGATTTAATGACTAATTTTTATTTTTATGTATACGTATGTGTATGCACAGTAAAAAATAAATCTAATTATAATAAATATTAAAAAATTTTAATACGTTTTAGCAGCGTATAAATAAAATTATATTCTGTAAATGTATTTGGTGGAAAACTGGAAAGTAATTTACTTAATCAGTTCACTAAAAATGAAAATAGACCCATATTATTTACAATTCCTGAATTGTTTAATAAATTTAATTAAAATATTGTGTACATGAAATTATATGAAATAGACATAACATACGTTGAAAAATATTAGGGTTAAGATTAACAATAGTACAACTAAAACAATATTGTAGAGCTGGAAAGTAGAAATACTAAATATATAACAAGAAAAAAGAAATATTAACAAATGCAAATTAAAACAAAAATCAAGTAGATAATCAAGTGTTATAATTGTGATATTTTTATAGAATTTAAATATCGTATCCTTAAATTAAATATTTCTGTGGCCTGTTACATATTTAATATTATACGGGCGCAGTTTGTTTATAAAATTATAAAATTATTATAATTGAATTTGAATATTAATGTTTTTCTTTTTTATTGGTGGATATTATAACACAACTAAAATCTATACATATGCAAACAACATATTTAACAATAGTGCTTCCATTAAATATTTTAAAAATATGATACATTTTTCTCTAAATAAATAATATAAAAAACAGTTTTATGAAAATAACAAACGGATCAACTACAATCATTACCTATATAAATAGTTTAAGATTATGATACATGACCACACAGAATATGAAAACCTATCAGTGTAACAATCATAATAATATAAATTATAATAAACTATTATTACGGCGTTTGACAAATTAAAATATAACACTTGGATAGATAAAATAATTTCTTATCCAACATACATTTTGTTGTGATTAATAGATTTTTTCCAAGTATACATTTGTCTTGTAATATCATCAATGTGTTGTATTTCCAAAAACAAATAAAAAATAATACTAAATTGACCTGGACATTTTTGAAATAATATATAATAATGAATAATTTTTTCAAATTTTTCGGCAAAAATACCTAAAGTACAAATAATATGAATTTTGAGGAATGAAAAGGTAATTAATCAATATTGTAGATAATTGTATAATGATAGTAATAATATAATATTGTATAATTGTTATTTTATGATTATTGTATGTCATAATATAAATTCCATAGGCATAACTAGGGTGTTATTTTTGAGGGACTTATTATTTTTTTGGTATCCCTTTGGTATTTTATTCTTACTTTGTATTTGTACCTTTACCTTTTATGTGGAGGATAGATGAATATTTGGAATGGATAAGTCCCCTTATTCCTTACCTAATTGTGCCTATGATAAATTCCCAAATAGTGTTCATGTTTTTGAACATAATTCCATAAACAGTTTCATGGCCAATTGTTAATTATATCACTTTTTTTTTTTTTTTTAACAAACTTGAAATACAATGACATTTGTAATGACAATATCACGAGTATCGGTTTTATTAGATACATTTTGAACATTAGATTTGTGCGAAACACGAAAATTTATAATTGTACGGAGATTTTAATAACATGTTTTGATGGCCCGTCTTCACGGTCTAACTTGACGAATTTACAATCAATAACCGAACGTAAAATTATATTATGATCGATAGTTATCCTTATATTATTGTCTTTAGAAAACTTATTTATTCGGCAATCAAGAGTTATTATATATCGTGTCAGGGTCTTTGCACGCAAAATTGTAGTTCTAACTACAGACCTGGGTAGTAGCCTAAAACAACATGATAATGGATTCATTTTAAATGCAGATCACGATGTTTTTACCCTATAATGATAGTTGCGAAAATGACGAAAACAAACAATGAACTGAAACTAGAGCAAACACAATTGAACGGACGGACATGCATAGAGCGAGAGAGAGTGTATAAACGAAATAATTGGAGTGCGTTTTGTACACTGTGTGAAACCGGTTATTTCCCCTTCTGAATAAAAAATAATTGAGTTTAATATGTATGATCGTTGACGGTTATATACAGACGTTCAAACGGGCTTCGCTTATAATTTGATGTCCCAAAACAGTTAATAGGTATATAGACACGATGTAGACAATATAGCAATACAATAACTGGTACCTATACATTACATTACTACAGTGCATGCACGTGGATTTCATAAATTTCGCGTTCGATGTGTACACACCAACAATATATATCATGCACATAGCATTATGTAAAATAAAAAAAATTTACATAAAATTGATGATGTCGATAAAATGCCGTCCTTATATGTGTGAACATTTTATATATACGTCTACACAAGGATACACAATAAAATTGGGAAGATAAAAACACCTTGCGCTCCCTGCATAGATGAATAGATGAATTGATAGATGAATGATGTGCGCATAAATTCTATATGTATATTGAATACTCACTATTAAGAAAATCTTCACACGTTCACTTTTATTTCTTCTGACACGCATTCTCATTTCTTATAGGTGTATAATATCTCATCAGGTAGCATAGCCAAAAATCATGCATTAAATCACTTGCGTCGCCAAGAATCGTGATCCATAGATTGCATAATAATAGAAAAATAAATAAGCTGAACAAAATAAATTATACTTTTTTATTTTTATTTTTTTTATTTACGATATGCGAAACGTGAAAGAAATGAATTTATTATGCACCGACTGTATAATACAAAATCATATCTAGACTGAAAATACGTAACTTAAATATATCACGAATTGTTATTTCAAACCACAGTGTATATATTGTACAAATTTGATTGCATATATGAAACGAAGTCTGCTATTACGGTTTACGTTTTTCATTTGTATCTGGAGCAACAGTAGATCTCGGGAAAACCCTTGTTGTATCTCGATCTCTTAGTAATAACTCTTGGGACATGATTGGATCACCAGCAACTGACCTGGACCTAGTGTAAGATGCTGTGGGTAAATCTCGGTCCGATAAATAGTAAGTTGTCCTCGGCAGTGAAACCATATTAGTATTAATCCTGGTTCTCCTAGGAATGTCGAGAAAACTGCTTCGATATCTATTATTAGAACCTCTGAAAATATCAAAATTCAAAATTATTTATGTTTGACATTATTTATGCTCAATATGTAAACCATTGGTCATTGTTTGCATTTTAACTGTACATTATATTTAGTTTACACGTTGAATTATACCCAGGCAGTCCAGTACGCAATCGTCCAATGACGTCCAATTAGACGGAATCGTCTAATAGGGTGGGGAGTTCAACATTCTATATGTTTTGTCAGGTTATGCAGTCAATAAAAAAAAAGATAAAAAAATCTCTTTCTACGTTAGGACATTTAATAAGTTAATTCGAGGTACAGAAAAATATTTTTCCAATACTTTTTATGCATCGACCTCGACATCACGATGTACGAGTACATTGAGTGAGGCTAAACTATTCAGCCGACCTTCAGACATTGTCGATCTGAGGTACGTTTTGAGACAACGCAAAGTTGAAAAGGAGCATTTATTCCTCATTTTTATCATAGGCTAAACTGACAGTACGCGAAGCATTTGGTAAATATTAAGAAACGCATCTTTATTTCAAATATCGAATACTTCAAGTGAATTTTTGAAATTTCGCCCAAAAATGTGTTTATGCCAAAGTTAAAATTTGTTTACCTAGATGTCACAGGAATTATCGTTCAAAATTGAAAGGTATAGCTCGAAAAATTAAGCGCAGGAATCTTCAATGACATTTTTAAATTTGTTAGGAAGGAGGCAAGTGAAATTTAATAAAAAATTATGATTCAAAAATTGGTCTTGTAAATGTGTCAAAAACAAATCTATGTATAGTATTTAAATTGTCATTAGGAAATAATCAAATCAGTTTGTATGTTGGAATATCCATGATCAAAAATATCAGGATTGAAAATCAATAAATGTCAACAATCGGTACAACTTGAATAGCTGACTTGTCAGTGAAAATATGTTCCATCAATGGCTGCATTTACAATGATAATCGACAGTAGATGTGAAAATTCAAAAGAAAAATGCGTCAAATCGAGAAAATTGACACTGTTAAAAATAGATAACATGTAGGTATGCATTTTCAAGACAGTTTAATTTTTACAGAATGAGAACTATACTCTTAGAAAATAATGTATGTAAAAAGATCCTCAATGAGGAGGATTAGAACCCCCTCCCCTTAGCACGGGTCTAGTAAGATATATATTTCGTTCTTTTAATTCACTATGTATTTTTAATGTACTATATCATTACAACAACATGAAACTTTTTTACTATCTGTTATCGTTTTTATTCACATAATTTACAATTTCTTAAGAGTGAAAAATACATTTTCCGACCTAGAAGTAAATAACCTTTAAATCATAGTATTCAGTATAACGACGAATTATAATAATAATTATAAAATAAAAACAAAATGAATGAAGTAAAAATATTCATCGTCAAATACATGTATCTAATACATCTAATACATGTATATTAAATAATTTCATTTTGTATTCTTATATACGATAGAAGGGACGTCATTTGGAGGGGACAGACTATGGAAAATGCCCCATTTTAAGTAATTTTAAAAATTCGGTAATTCTTTGTCCAATGATCAAATGCGAAAATCGGTAAATATTAAATTTTTATTTATTATTTTGTACTCAGAAATCAGATAATATTCTCTTTTAAATACATGTTCACGGTTTATTAAAAATTGGGAAACACTGGCTCCTCCACGGTTTATGACAATCGTTTTTACGCAAACCTTATAAACTTTATTTATAAAACAGTTTTCGTGATATCAAATATATATATATAGGTAACCATAATTTTTTAAATATTATGAAGTCAGCAAATTTAATCAGTTGCCCCACCCTTTCAAAAGTTGAAATGACGCCCCTGTACGATAGCAAAATGTTTTTAGTTAATTAAAATATTATTATTTAAATTAATCATAATTCCAATATTTTGTTAATAATAACAGTGAAATATTTAGTTTTTTATTATTGTTATAATAAACTTGTTTGTTTTAAATATGTAAAAGCAATGATGCAAGTATAAGATGAAGAAAAAAATTTGATTATTAGTTAAGCTTAAAAATTAAATTTATTATTGTAGCACAGATTATATAAATTTAAAAATAATTATAATAATAGGTACGTGACAGTAGAAATGCTGAAGTTGACAACTGGTATCATAAATCAATTGTAATTGGATATTTGAATACCTGATTGTGTTGTCGATGTAATCGTAATTACGATCAAGGTATTCCTGGGCTAGAGGATCGGAGTCATAGTATGCATTGTTCAAATTATTTACAATTCGGTTTCTTGGATAAGATCTTCCATAGCCATTCCGATCAAGAACTGTAGTTGATCTATACCGTGAAGGTCCAATAATATCTCCTAATCCGTAAGATTGAAGGATTTGACTTATTACTTCACCACCGGGATAGTATTCGCTGTTTGCATCCATTTCCAGCCATGCGGGGTTTATGTAACGGTTTATCTGCCCATTAGCAGTAACAATTATCAAAACGAACTATAAAATTTGCCAAAAACAATACTTAATACATTTTACATACAATTTAAACATTTTCTATATACGTTTATTGTTTAAATCTGTAAATAATAAGAATATTAACAATTATTACCATACAAATGATTGGTGGCAAGTCCATGATTTTCTTTGACAAACTAATTCTTCGAATGAAACGTTATAAATGTACATTATTACTTCTTACCACTATATATATAATATAAAATAAGACATGTATTATTGTGATTATTTAACTGTGACAAAACGTGATGCACTGGATAAACATATATGTATTGTCGTCCATAAGGTCAATATGTGGTTTTATTTGTTTGCCACTAGGTGATGATAAATACCGTTTAAAAATTGGCCCATTTTAGTTATTTAATTTGACTATAAATATTTTAAACCTATTGTCTGAATATAACCTCTTATTCTAAAATCCTAAAAACCACTGTAAGACCTTCAACTAAAGAACATTATTTATTTTAATTATTAACCAATGTAGGTATAAAAAATACAATTGGATTAAAATATTAAAATATAATCTATAAATATAACTCTTTTAATCTATTTAAAAATATTTATTTGTATTTCATTGAACATAACATTAAAATTAGAAACATGAATATGAGCTATTTAAATAATTGTTTGATATAAACTTAAAATAAATGTAGACGTAATATTCTCCAAAGCAATTCAAAGCATGCTTGGGTATCACAATGATAAAATATTTTTCTGCAAATCATTTTGAGGGTAATAAATCTATAGTAATAATAAATCTACATCAAAAGTTTTAATATTTTAGATCAATAATCGGAGATGAGTAGAAGTTTAGAGAAGTTAATAAATATGAAACAAACACCAATAAAAACACTTTGAAATATTAATAAACGTTGTCTAGCTAAAGTTTATATTATTTTTATAAAATAAATAATTTATCATTTTATGTTATAAAGTTCGATGAAAAAGTGGTCTTTATACATCACTTGTACAAAATATTTTATATTGCTTTTATGTGAGCTTATTCTATCCAGTATTTTATACTATTATACATATTTGTACTACGATTTTTTAAATATTTTATATTTTTATTCGTATAACTTATTGTAATTATAAATAATAGTTATCTCTGTGTTGCAGATAGTCTTGAATCTTGTTTAGTTTATTCCGAAAAGGAGGCACACCTATGTTAGACAAATATGTCCATTCTATATTCACCATTTTTTTCGATCCGATTTTAATAAACGGTTTGTACAATATGTCACTTGTATCTGGTACTGGGACTATAAATTAAATTTACCAGTATAATATTCGGATTTTTATTATGTTTACAAATTTTATTACTAAATAGTAAGTTTTATTTATTTTTGGATATATATATATGCATAACGTGTGTAGCAATATAATAAATCAAAATAATAGAAAGTATTAGATTAATAAAAATTAATAATATGATAATAAATTAATATTAATAAACTGATCAATATGATGTTAGTTAATATGTAATGGATCTCAGATTTTTCTTTATTTATTACAAAAACACAATGATAATGGTGATTAATGTTTAACTTTTAAATTTAAATTGGCTTATAAGTTTTATCATGTTATTTTTTTTTCTATCAAAAAGTATAATAGAATCTGTTACAAAATCAGCTGTTCTTTTACTAAAAAATATTATTTGATACATACCTAATTATAAAAGTCTTGAAAATGTATTTTGAATATAGGATGATACATAACATACTCGTGTATATATTTATAAGCACGTTCTATCTAAATAAAGTCAATATTTAGATTATTTTAAAATATATTTAATCAAACCAAAACATACATTAACATACATGAGCTACATACAGATCTCTAATATTTATTTAAGAGTAGGTATATAGATATATTGTGAATTATTTATTTATATATATATATATCTTATAGAATCTATGTTCGAATATACAATTTTTTGATAGGTCAATAATCAATCATAAATTAAAATGACTATTTTTGTACAAATTTGAAATAAAAATCTATTATTGGAATATTTGCACCAGTAAAGTAATGTAGCCAACAAATATAATCATAAACTTATCACAGACTTTGAAGAATAAGGTTACAATAAGTAATTCCATTAGAGTTATCCTTTCATACAATACACGTATGGTAAAATAGACCATTGGTTAAACGATAATTTATGTTTTTAAAAATATTGGTACAAATTAAATTTTATTATAATAATACTGAATGCTCCACATTGTTCGTATTATTGTATGAGTGTGAAATAACAAAATTATAATGGCCCAGCTAAAACCGTAGCTTAAAGCTATAGAAGTTTTTTATAAATACATTTAATCAATACAAGTGTAATAACTGTATTACGTATTATATCTATGTATAATAATTATTAAAATATACTTTTTGAATATTATTATTACTACCATTACAGTTCATACACAACACATCATTCAAAAACGAAATTCTGCAGAGCACCATGTAAGGACACACTAAAACTAATATCACAATTAGTAATATAAACAATAAACATGTATATTTAATCCTAGGTAATAATTAAATTCAAGTACTGATAACGTTTTAGTATGAATTGTTCGGTGCAGCTTGTATTAGTGGTTTGTTTATTGGTACTCCTATGTTGCTATATTCATCATCAACCTGAAAACAAAATTTAAAATACCATCGTATAACTCAGTTATCATATAAACATTTAGTTAAAAAATAAGAAAATTACTGTGGTAGAAAAGTACGAGTTGGGGTTGTAAAGTAAATATAATAATATTATTATTTCTAAACAATTATTTAGCAACAAACATCGGCGTGCGCAAACCTATATTTCAGGAGTTACCTACAATACTTTTGTGCCCTATCTTAAAAAAACGTTCAGGTATTTTTAATAAATTATAATATATAAATAATTAAGTAAAAATACATTTTATTTTTTATATTATATTGTAGTAAATTAGTCCCAATGAATATGTTTTCCTTGAATCTTGTATATTTTTCTTAGATAGTTTTAATTATTTATGATTTATACTTTTGTAGTCAATTACAGCTATTGTATTATCGTAATAAGTTTTCTCACGAAAATGTTGACACTTTTGTTTTATTTTTTCTATTATGAAACATTTTTTTTAATTATTTTAGAATAAATTACATTTAATTTAAATAACATCAGTTAAAATATGAGCCTTAAAATAAATATTAGACTTAAATTTTAGGGCCCCATTTACAATATTTCGGAGTGTGCCTAGGCATACCTAGCGACCCTAAATAAGCACGCCTATGGCAACAAATATATATCATTGGTTAGAAACTAAATATGCACTGTGTACATATAATTTATATTTACATGTACTGGGTGAGATTTATGTACGCGTCACATCATGGTGTTATATTTAATACGTATACCATTAATAGTAAACAGAAAACTTATAGGGTAGTATAATTACCTATAAAACAGCGGTTCTCAAACTGTGCTCCACGTGAGAAGTTAAAGGGTTTCATATCTCCATGATACATCTGAATTAATTTAATTAAAATATTATTATATTTTTTAGTTATTGAAGAAAAACATTGATAGATTACTTGAATTGCATAATGAATTGTACGTTTCACAGTAAATGACTAAGTCCGAGCATTATTAACAAAAAAAGTTAAATTTTGGGCTGTGTGTTTTTCTCGACATAAAAATTATAGTTAAGTTCTGTTAAAGAAATATTTAGAATCAATTAATGATAGTATTGAGGAATTTGATGAAAGATTATTACATTATTATTTTTGTAACTATTATTGTGATGTGAAATATATTTGATATTTTTGTTTCCGAAATTATTTTTAGAAATAGGATTCTACGAACAAAAAAGTTTGAGAACCACTGCTACAAAACATTCTAACTATTAATTTTAAATATAGTAAATAAAATAAAATTGTAAATATTATTTTAATTACTACCTTAATTAATACCTTCTATTTTGATAATTCAAAATCTTTTTTTTGCACACTACTCTAAAAAATAAAAAAACTATACATTTTTACAAAAACTTTATAGCCATCATTTAAAACTTTATTCTAATTCAGTATATTAAAAACAAATATAAGTGGTAATCAACATTTCGATATAAAAGTAAATTTCTTTTTCTGTGATAAGATTAAAAAATTAATTTATCTTTGTAACTGAAGTTTTAGTTTTAGACTACAAATAAAACTTTATCGACATTTTCCAGGATGAACGATAATTTAGTATGTGGCTGATATTAATTATATTTATGTAATTGCATATAATATGTTTAATGTACGTAGAAATGTTAATGATGTAAACCAATAAAATAAATTAAATAATATCGACAAGTTTTGAATTGAGGCCTTGGTGAACTAATTATTTATCATATCATGACCCAAAAAGTAAGACCACACTTTACTTAGTTAACTGTAGAAAGTATTTAAAAAAAAAATTAATATAGCCTTACAATTTGTAATTTACAAATGATTTTTTCATCATTTTCATTTATTACATTTTTTATTCAAAACTTCCATAATCTCAAGTGATATTTTTGCCTGAGAATATAAAATAAACACAACTTTTATAGATTAATTTGAAAAATTAGTTTTTGTATAAAATTATTTTATACTTTAATTTTCAAACCATAGTGTTTAATTAGAAAAATTATAATAAATATTGTGATATTTTAAGTTATAACTGTTATAACTATTATAGTATATTAATTTGAATATTTTACCTACATGTATTTATTAATGTTATTAAAATAAAAAACTAATTATATTCAAAACTATGATACCCATAATGATTTTGGTTGAATACTACTGAATACATTTTTATTTCTACTAACTAAAACTTAATTCTCATTTAAACTTCGACGTTATCAATTTTTCAAAAATGTCTTGTCAATTCTCAAAATAATATGTTCTCTTGTCACTCATCATATTGCAAAATGAACTGACTAAAACCATATGTATGTCCTTCATTGCTTTGTTTCTCAAAGTGGAGACAGGTGAAGGGGGAGTACAAAGAATGCGTGCGATATTTTATACCTGCATAAATGACTTAGATACTCGTATATTATAATATGCAATACGTAACTATTATTTATATACAACTGAAAGCAATAATGGATTATTACAAACAAATAATAACAATAATAAATAAATCTAAAAAAATAACTTTCTCACACATTATATACTCTCATCTTTTATAAAATGTACAACAATTGGTATTGATAAATGAAAATCAACAATCATTCTCATCATAGTAACCATATCACATCAATCAAAAATAAAGATAAAATCAGAAATTATTCAAGCATGTTTGCCATATTAAATTACATACTTAATTACTTAATACTTAATGTAATTATAATATTTAATAACAACAATATGGATAATCCGTTATTAAGGTGCCTAAAATCACTGTGCATTCAGTGGTGTAGTTATCATAGGGTAGGTTATCATAGGACAGTATCCAAGGACCCCAGAGCACAAAGGATCTTGAACATTTCTGAAACTATACTTCCTTGAAATAATTAACAGTTTTGATGTATTTAACAGTAAATTCTTAAAGCAAACGTGATGGTCCCAGTTACAATCAGTAATAATATACAATCTTTAATAGTTATATGAGCATTTGAGTATTTAAGTCATTAACAAGTAAAAAAATAGGGTATCAACATCCTGACCATAATGATAAGATTTTGTCGAGAGTTATTCGATGATTAAAAAATGAGTGGGCTATATAAACTGATCCATATTCAATATGAAAAATATAATATATTTTAATCTTGGTTTTCCGTATTTTCTGGGTGTTAAAAAATTCCGAAATTGTACGATTGTTTATGATTAATTTTCAATTGTTAAGAAACTTTTTGAAACAAATAGGACGAAACGAAATGAGAGGGAAACTCCACGTACGTTACAAATAATATTTGAAAATTTCTGATCCCATGTTAAATATCGCGTTGGTCATCCGCAAACGAACTAATTGGCTCTAATATTATAAGAATAACAACCAGTTAACATTTAGTTGGTCAGACGGACTACAAGTAATATATTTTCTAAGCAAAATTACCGATTCAACAACAAGGTGTTGTTGAACGGGTTAGTCAGAGGAACTCAGGGAGCTGAGCCGTACAGAGAGGAACACTAAATAAAAGACCATCAACATCAAGTTCACTACGGTCCTCTCTTATTCCTAGTATCATCATCCATTATCGTAAAGTACATTATTTATAATTTATTTTAATTATAGTAAATATTTACACCGTACTTTTATATGAGATAATCCTATTCCATAGGTATTAAGTATAACACACCAAGGTCGAGTTCCCGAGACCTCGTAAAAATAATCATAACTTTAAAAGAGTTCGATCAGCTAAGAGGTTGAAGGAATTTAAAGATGGGAAGTTACACTAGTCAAAAAGACAGAATTATTAATTTAATATATAAAACATATTAAAAAAACTATTAACTGATCATATTCCTGTTTATTACACATTTTATTATATTAATAATTCTATTATATTTGTTATTATTATGTATTATAAAATATTTACTTTTTACTATGACATATAATAGATATCTTTTTTATATTTTATATACCTTATCATTAAGTTTATTTTCTATGATTTGTATTTATTTGTATGTTACTAGAAACTAAAACAGAATAAAAAGAAACTAGTTAGTTCAAAAATGTTTTTTACCTATTATTATTAATGTATTTGTTAATTAAGAAAATTTAATTATTGTACATATTTGTTGATAAGGGGGATGTGGGAGGCGATGTGCCCCTCAGGGGTCAGCATATGTTACAACACGTAATACATAATATCTTTATTTAATTTATTTACATCATATTCATCGTGGTCTTGTAACAAATTTAATAATCTCATGAAAAATATAATGAGTTAATAGAAACTATATTGAAAAAAAGTAAAAAATAAAAAAAAAAGAACTTAAAGATTTTTCTTTAGTCAAAAGTTAATTATTTTAATTAAGGTTATTTTTAATGCACTTGAAGCTCAAATCCCAAAATAATTAATGTATTAGTTACTTATTTTAAAAATGCTTATGACATGCATTTCATTAATTTCCACATATCCTTGTTCTTTCATTACTTCTATCTAAAATTGTTATAAGGATATTAAATATAATTTTTTTTAGGGCTATTTATTTTAGTTCGATTTATGTCTTTTTTAAATATTACTAATAATTAATATTAGCATACTTTACGGTTTTTTCATACCTAAATATTTTTCTTTATACCATATTTAGGTTAATGAAATAACAAATTAGATTACCATTTGTGAATAAGTTTGTATCTCGTGATAGTCGCAAATGAGTTGTATTGAGCATTTCAACTTTGCATCGATATTTTTTCCTGTAATCGGCACTATTAAATTGAACTTAATCATAGGATTGTTTATAGAATCCATGGTGTTCACCAGTCCAGACGCTATAATCGGAGATAATTTTTCAGTTACTAAATGTACATTGATAAATAAACCATGCTGTAACAAAAATATATTCATGTTAAAAATTCGTTTCCATTAGTTTATTAAAAAGTCGTTTTACCTTTGCAACAAAATGCAAAAGTTCAGTGCTACTGTTACTGCGGTAGTAACAGCTACAATTAAAATCAGCGGCCCAAGCTAATCGACTCGGAGAATAAGCAATATCTTCTTGATCTTTAAACCCCCAAGTGAGAAAAATATTTGGCTCGGATTGTAATGATCTGATAATTATATATAAGAATAAAATAAGTAAATTGTACCCTATTGTAAACACATTTGTCTTTCGAAATAGAAGGTTAAACCACATACTTTAAATGTTGAATACTTTCTGTTGAAAAGCTTACAGTGTTGATATTAATTTCGAGTTGGGCAGAATCTTCTTGAATTCGAGGTGTGTTCTAAAATGTAGTAATAATATTTTAATTATATTCTATTTTATGATACTATAAACACATTAAATGTCACCACTTATCATAAAATTGTTTATAAACAATGCATTGGTTTAATAAATTTATCAAGTAGATTATAAACTAATACAACAATGACTCAACGATTACTATATTAAATATTAAAATATAAAATTATATGCCTTGCCAGCAATAAATAAAAAATGTAAAAAAAAAAAAAATGATAAAGAATAATTCCTTTAATAATTCTTTTGCTACCGATCATTAAAACAAATACAAAATAAACATCGACCTGAGTAATATTAATTATTAATACAACCATGATTATAAATAGTATTTATAATTAATGATACAACTTAAATAATAACTCTAAGTTATAATTACTAAAATATACATTTCATTTAATATAAAACGTTAATATAATTTACTCTGTATTTAAAATATTTACCTACAAATGCGTGTATAAAAAAATATGAGGTGACTAATGTTTTTGTACAAACCTCACTTTTGGTCATTGAATCCGTAATTAAATTAACTATAGGTTTTTTCGGCGATTGTACTTGATTGAATATAGTTTGTCTTTTAACCATCTGATCCCTGAATAAAACCAAGATTTCTAAGGTATTATTAACTATTTCTTCAAACTCTTTATTTTCTCCATTAATTTCGATGTTTTTTTTAATAGAGCACACAGCTTTTTCTATTATTTCTAAGGTAGCTATTAGTGGTTCGGATATATCCAATCTTGTTATATCAGTAAACAGGTTCATAAATATTTTTGTTAATTGTGAGGCTGCCTTTAAATCTCGCTCTGCTTGATCTAACTACAATTATTTAAATCACATCAGTTAATTCCAAATATTTGTCGTTCAAATGCAGTAAGTAATACTTTATCTTTTAGCATCGTGTTTAAGTAAGATTGAGAGTTCAACGTTTGATTAATTTTAACTTGCTCCTGTTGAAGTTCTTGGATTTGACTTTTCAGTCTATGAAAATTATTTTAGATTAAACATAATTTAAACTTGTTATATGTTATAACCAGGGCTCATAACATAAAGCATTTACATTTTTTTTTTTTTTTTTTGAGAGGTCCTAAAAATACCTATGTGAGCTAAATATTTTTTTCAGATAACTAAGAAGTACTTATATTAATATATATTAATAATATAATTAATATATAATTTATAACTAAGAAGATAACTACGAAATTTTACATTGCATATTTTGGCATATTTTAAAATAAAAGTGCTATTTTGCCTTTTTACTATTTGGCAGACTTATTCTTACATATTTAGAAATTTGTTATTTGTTTTTTTAAATCTTTTTCAGTTCCGTAGCATTTAAAATATTTATTCATAATAATAAGAAGTAATTATAGTAGCATTAATTTTTATATTTATAATTAATTCATATAATTACCTAATTCTTCTTCTTTTAGTTTAAACTATATATTTATTTGTATCGTATAGCGATACGATCGAAGTTTTTTTTACATAGTATATTTTTTTTCACATATTTTTGTATTTTTATTGTGCATATTTAAGTGCTTATATAAATATTTTTAAGAGCATATTATAGCGTTTTTATCTAATTTTTTTTAGAGCTATAAATCATGAGGCCTGGTTATAACCATTGAATTTAATTTAAAAACAACATATTATATAATATTCTCTATACCTCTTATCTTCCGATTCTAAATTTTGATGAACTGTGACATCTTCACTGTCATTTACTTGTGGAGTCTTAATAATAATCTATTAATGTTAATTAAAGCATATGTTATCCAAACGAGTACGTAAAATTATGTATTATAAATTAAATATCGAATGATACTTTACTACAGGTATTCCTAACCTTTTTTATTTAACGGCATACTTAAATAAATAATTATGAATATACATAATGTAATAATTATATATAATATAAATATATTATATTATAATATATTATATATAATACACATTTAATGTGACATTTGAGATTGGTGTTTTTTACATAATTTCTGTATTAGGGGTGAAAAAGTTGAAACGATACAAACTATTAAAGGACAATCAATATCACCATTCCACGTAAATCCAAAACATTAATAATTATCAACATATTTACGTTTAACTTTTAAATTTAAACTTTTATCAATTATTAAAGCTGATTGTTTAATATTAATTTCAATATTTAAATTGTTGTCATTTGCACTAATATTTCTGTCATTCATTAATTTACGTCTTTTTTAAAAATTTATCCATTTTTATATTTAACTTAAAATATTTCTTGATCGAAATACCTATACAGTATAATGCATAACAATTACACGTGCTCCATGCTCAATTTTCATTATAATGAGCACAGGCTATGTTTTCATATAGTCATTATAATATGTGGTAAAGGTCAACGCGACTTCTTGTAATACCCGTATCGGCTAGTATCGAATACCTAAATAATATTATAGCTGTTTTATCAGGTCATTTTATCATTTTTTATTTTCAAGGAAATTTCGAAATCAATGCTATCATAAATATAAATTATAATTTTGATTATTATATTTAATTATGCTTAAAAAATTATAAAAATTATACGGCACACCTGAATAATTTCGCGGCACAATGCACAGTAGTCTGAAATCAAATTTAGGTGGAAAAATATACATTTTTAAAGTACATTTATATTAATATTTTATTGCAAAAACCCAATAAGTATATCCTACATAACATAAATATAGAACCTCAGATAATATTAAATGTGTTAGGCGACTAGGCCGATTAGAAAATGAAGATTATTTTCATATCTGCTGTTATACTTTATCGATTATACTAATTTGAGTTATGTCGTTCATTCCACTCGTATTAATTAGTTATATTTTATATTTATACTAATTTTCGTATGGGAAATGGAATTCGAAAACCAAGGTAAGTGTTCAATAACTATAATATATTTTTTTATGATGTTAGGTATAAAATATAGTTGGAAAAATAGTAAAAAAAAGGTAATACTTATATTTCAAATTGAATAATTAAAAAATAACCAAAATTAATCGTTAACTAATACATAGATACTATAGTACATATTCTACTTTATTCGATCTGAAAATTTGGTTTGCGTCCATTTGCGTCTGTATTTATAATTTTTTTTTTTTTTTTGTAGTTAGTTTTAGTAGAAATTTCGATATAATTGACTCAGATATTGACGAAAACTTGATTTTTAATAATTCTAATTTTCGTTATTATTCTTACGATGATTTATACATATTATAAAAAAAATAGAGGTCCATTGAACCCTCACTCCATAAAATCAAGAAGATACCTACTTGACATTTTAAAGGCTCGATACGAAAATAAACAATGGGAGCTACAATACACAAAATTAGTTGAACAAATCGTTATAAAGTTTTTATTAAGACTTTGGTCTAAAAGTTCACGGAATCACATAAGATTTAACCAGGCTAATAGTGAGTAGCTTAAATCTGAACTAAAATTACCAATATTAGAACAAAAAAAAATTATAGAAAGACCCAAAATAAACTTCGAAAATAGTTGTGAAGAATCAAAGCGGAATAAAATTAAAATATTAACAAACAAATTGTATATAATATCATATATTACGAAGAAGTTAACTTTTAAATTAAAAAATGTATATATTGCCATTCAACCATTGTAAACAAACATTTCTTTTTTTTAAATATTTTTTCCAATATCTTGGACCTATTTTAATTTTATTAGGTATTGTGATAATTTGTGTAAATAAATTTTTCAACCTAGATTGGATTTCATACCACTGGGCAGTGGTTGGGAATCCCTGCTTTAAAAGCTTACCTTGATTTTTTCTTTTAATTCGCTATTTTCTTGTAGAATTTGATTGATTTCTTTGTATTTATTTGAAATTTCATTATCTTTTAATTCCAACAGTTTAGATAGTTCTGAGTGTTGATTCTGTAACAAAATCTATAGCTCATTTATAAATTAACAAACATCTTCTATCTAATTAAACCTTCAAGCATTTATTCTCATCTATATAGTTGGACAATTTTATTTCATTTTCGTTTATAGTTCCTTTTAATTCGGCGATGTATTTGCTATTTTCTTCCATTTGTTTTAAAAGACCCGCTCGAGAGTCCGAAAAATTTTCTTCTAATTCTTTCAACTATAAAAGAAATCAAATAATGAATTGTGATAGTTCAATTTTAAATATGAAAATATTTTGTATTATTTTATATTTATTTCCCTAAAACAATTGAAAAAGAAAACTGTTCCAATTTTTTTATCAAATTGTTTTTTTTTTAGGATTTTAGAACATGACTAAATTCAAATATTTTATTCTAACGGTTTCTGGTCATTTGGTACTCACAGGCGCAACTAGGGGGCTAGGAGGCTTATCCACTCACCAAGACTTAGACCCCCCATAAATATTCCATGTTATTCATGGCATACTGCATACAGCATACTTAACTCACAATAGTGTCACATACAAAAAAAGACACATGACAGTAAATCCAACTAGGCTCAGAATCTAAAATATATTAACATGGTATGTATATAAGAGTAGAGGTAATTTATAGGTTATTTTAAATTTTAGTAGGAGGGATGTAGCCCCCCCACTAGATTTTTTACCTTAGTTACACCTATGTTGGTATTGCTGAAATTTACAACTACTGTGTTTGTATCGTAAATATAATTTTATATTTTTAAGAATACTTAAAAAAAAAGTAAAAAAGTGTACGATTGTATGTGATATTGTATTATAATAATATGATATTAAATACTAAACAACAAGTACAACAAGTATTCTGAATATTTTAAAAATATAAGACTTTATCAAATTTATATAATTGTACTAAGAATATGTATGTCCTGTATGTATATGACAGTAACAGTCAGTATAATTGTACCAATGCATTGTATATTAATAATATTTTGATGAATTGGCCAAATAAATAAATAAAACAATTTCTGAAAAAATTAAAATGTCATTTTTACATATGAATAAATCCCATCCAAAATATATAATGTATACAAGTGTAAGTAGTGTAACTCATAGGGTTGCCAACCGTTCTACATTTAGCAGGACTAACCAACATTTGTTTAATTTGTCCTACTTTCAACAATGCTAAAAACAATTTGTAGGACAATCCAGAGACGTATTTAGAGTTTTGACGCCCTAGGTACAGTTTTATTGCCACCTCTACACGTATACCATAGGCGTGCGCACGGGGGTGGGCCGCGGCTCCCCCTGCGGACTCTGGCTTTTTCTTTAATAAATGTATATCTATACTATACAAGATAGCGAACATTTTTACATTTTACATGAATAAAGTAAAGCCATTTTTAATCTTATAGCATAGAATTCATATCTGTGAATAAATGTAATAAAGTTATTAGTTATTAATCAGACTAATCAGAACTTGCATGTAATATAAAAATTGAAGATGTAATTCATGCATTCAAAAACCTTACTCCCGTGGACAAAAGGATGGAGTTGTAAATAGTATAATAATATGTAAATAAGGATTTCTTAGACATAAATTGTGTAAGTTTAAATAGTATTTATTTTTATATTTGCATATTGAATTAAATAAATAATTTATAAAATTTAAAATATTTAATTATACTAGTAGTTTTTAGTACAAGAATCTTTGGTTTACTTTTTTTAACGGGCACTCCCTGCGGAAAAAGTCTGCTCACGCCTATGACGTATACGTATACAATTTTCAAGAAAGGTAACATGTATTATCTACGAATTTTACGCGATCAACTTTTGATAATATTATCATGAAAATAAAAATCACTATGTAAAACAGTGATGCCCAACTCGTGGCCCGCAAAGATATTCTATGTGGCCCATTACGAATTTTCTAAAAAAAAATTTTTAAAAATGTATGAAAACATTTTATCGTTTAAATAATTATTCCAAAAATACAATTATGTATACCTCAATTCATAATCTTTTCAATAGACAGTAAAAGATAAGAAAACAAATCCAATATATAAGATTATTTTTGTATGTTTATACTTTGTGGCCGCTTGAAGATAATTGTTTACCAAAGTAGCCCACCAAAGGAAAAAGGTTGGGCATCACTGGTGTAAAATCTTAAATATTAAAATTTTTCGATTGACTAATGAAATTAGATGATGGTTACAAAAAAATTTTGTCACCCTTTGATTTCAAAAAATGTGCCACACGGGGCGATGGTACTCACTCCCTCCCTCCTCCTAAATACGTCCCTGGGACAATCCTACATTTTTCAAAAATACCTATTTATATTTCATTATTATTATTATTTTAATTTTATCAATTTATTATTTAATTAAGGTGGTAAATATCCAAGTGTTATAATTAATAAGCTAATTTAATAAAAGTTATATAAATAAAATGTATTAAATTTTTTTCTTAGTTACCTAACATAATATTATATAGTGTTAGTTGTAGTATTGCTTACTGAACTATACACTGCCGTAGCTATGGGGGGAATGGGCCATGCCCAACCCACCATAGGCCCTATTGTTTATGCATATAACCAGTATCTTTTTCTCTTCAGTTGGTTTTTTTATTTTTTACTTTGCCCTCCCACCTTCAAAATTTTGAGTACGTCACTGAAACATGGTATAAATTGGATTTGAAAAAAATTGTCTTACATTAAATCATTTGAAAGTTGACAACCCTAATAACATATTTTCGAAAAACACATTTAAAAAGAAAACTAATTCGTTGAAAAGTTTTTCAGATACTACCTATTCCATTCTACCATACAGATTATTATTATTATTATCATTAGCGATATCATTGTTCTTGAATAATTGTACATCAATGTAATACTCTTTCTAAAATAAGTAGCGGTACATAGAAAAAATATTGTCCATTTAAAAAGAAAACAAGGATCATTTGAACACAATGACTAAGAGTAAAAAAAAACAGATTTTTAAATCGTGGTTATTTCAATCTTCGGATACTACTAATACTGTAAAACCTATTAAAAAAAAAAAATTAAGGTCATGTTCCGTTCTCGGTTCTCAACAGTTCATTATGATTTTCAATTTCCAGCTATTCTTATTATTATTATTCTTATTTTTTTTATACATATTTATAAAAACAAATTCAAGGATAGGAGTTTGAGTTAGATTAATATTACTGATCTTATTTAAAATTATTTCATAAAAAATGATAAAAGGGCACTGAGACAAATTAATTATATGGATAAAAAATACTTCATAAAATAATTTGAAACATAAAATTGACATTTATACTCATTTTTTCTTACAAATACTTATATTTCATTTGATTTGAAACCAATTGAACTACAATTAAAGTATTACTAAATGTATGTTATAGTTAATTATTTAGTTATACCTTTAATCCACTAATTTGATGTTGTGGTTTGGAAGTTATTTGCAGAAGTTTTTGATTGTGTTCTTTAAGTGACAACTTTTCTTTCTGATTTAATTGTAAGCATATTTAAATTACAAATTATTATTACATGAAACATTGTATGAGATTTAAATTACCTGTAAGTCACGAATTTGTTCTTCCAACGCTTTATTTGATTCTTTAAATGCATTGTACTTTAGTTTTAATTCACTTAAATTGTGTTCTTCGTTATTTAATTTCTCTTTTAACTTGTCTAAAAGTTCAGATTTTAATTAAAAATATAAATTGTAGATTAATTAAATATTCAAATTACATACCATATTCATCTTGTTTTTTTTTAAATAATTTATTAACATCAATTAAATTTTGTTCAAAAGCTTTACATTGTGCTTGTAAAGTTTCCATTTGAATTTCCATACTTTTTATAACTCTGTGAGATTGTATTAATTCAATATTCTCTTTAAATTTACTTTTATTTTCTACTAAGCTACTTTCACTATCAAATGATTCTGTGCTTTCGAACTTCTAAAATGTATTCATTGTTAGTATAACGTTTTTATATTTTAATAAAAAAACTTACTCTTTCAGGAAGCGTAATAATCTTTTCATTTTCATCAAAACCTACCCTAGATAATCTAGACATTTTCTGTAATTTTATTGGAGTTGATCTGTTACAAATAAATTGGATATTCATCAAAATAATCTATAAATAATTAAATGTTAACCTAACCTTTGAGAATGTCTGGACAAAGGTTTCTCTGGTCTTTGGTGAATATTGTTGTATAAGTTAGAAGATGTTTTCAATTGATATTTCAACACTTTAATCTGTTAATAATATGATTAACAGCGTTTATATATTCACACTTAAAATTAAAAAAATAAAGGTACCTTTGAAACAAGACGAATATTTTGTTTTTCTAACTCTTCAATTTTGTCATGACATTGTCCAATCGTTTTATATGATAAAGGTCTTGAATGGACCGGACATGATTTATTGTGCTCTAGACTCTTATTAGAACAACTACTAGGTCGGTCTGTTAAAGAACCTTTACTTGGATGTGATGATGAAATTATATTCGACCTATTTGGTGACACGTTAGTTGTCATTTTGAATTACAAATTTAAAATTAAAATACACAGTATTATAATAAATTACACTATGTATCATAAAAATATTTTAAATTTTTGATTATTTGAATAATTAAATACATCATATAATATCTCATTATCAACACTTGTTTAGATTTTTTCAATTAGACACATACATATACACAACAAATTATTAAATATTTAAATATCAACTATATCGCTAAGATAGTAAGTTCAACGAAACAATAATCACAAGCAAAATACAAAAGTAAACGTTGCTTCCTATAACATTGGGTGGTATTGTTGTACTGTTTGTTGCCATGGAGCCGCAACACTGCTATTGTACAACACCTATTCATCACCTTAGTTGTAAATGTATTATTTAAATTAGAAAAACCATTTAACTTGATTGATGGATACTTATAAGTTTCACCTAGGGTAACTTAAAATGGATGTATGAATATATATTTCCAATATATCGAATACAAATATCGACCACTATAAACGTTTATTATTATAGATATACATACATTAAAAATATTGTATTGTGTTTTTATAAAACTGCATGCACGTATATTCATTATACTTAATAATAATTTATAGCAGTAAAAATAAACAAATCAAAAAACTGTTAATATTTAATGAATTTACGTACTTACTACCACGCAGACTCCAGCAGCAAGTGTTAAAACTCTCAGAAACTATATATTGAACAAACAAGTTTAATACAATAAAATTCTTAACTAATAATATTAATATATTGTTTAGGTGAATTAATTTCATAGGTGGATTAAGGGGGGGGGGGGAACAAATTTTGTACTTCAATATTTGATATTTATAATTTTTATTTTGTTGTCATACGAGAATGGTCTGGAATATTCATGGCATATCGTAGTTGGGAAAATCATATTTTGTAGGTATATATTGATAATCGCTAATATTCTAGAACTTGTTTGCGGTACCTGTAAAGTTATAAATACGCAAGTTGCAGACCCCCACAACATTAGTGTCGATTACGTTTTTGGAGCTTATACGATGATCGCCCTTATTTTTATTTTCTGTTATGAATAACTACGCCTGCTTTTCCGTAAGTGACGTGCTAAACAAATAAACAACATAGTTTATATTATTTGTGTGAATCGTGTATTTATCTGAATTAATCAATTAATTTTAAATTATAAATTGTAATTAATTCAATAATGGCTAAAAGAATGTTTGATGTCTTTAATATTAAAAAACAAAAATTAATTGTTACTAATTCCTCGTCAACAACAATACTAAAACAAAACCAATATTTAAATCTCCATTTTCAGATTCTATTCTAATTAATAAATTAATCTATTCTGTGCTGTAACTGTATTATGATAGATGATGTACGTTCGTTAACGTCAATCCATTTAATCGTGACTATCCTGTCGTATATCTGAAATACGTTTATAAGCGTTTAAGACTAAAAAAAAAAAACCCCATGGGCTTCATCATCCCCCCTACACACGTCACTGCACATACATCTTGCGAAACCCTTGAGATAGAACCCACGATACGCACTTAAGAAATCGCTGGCTGAACTGAAAATATGCACAACTCAAATTGGCAAAAACAAGCAAACTATCAGATTATGTTCTATTATTATAAGTTCTGTGGTAGACTATCTGTTAATTGTTTTGTAAACTATTTACACTCATTGGTATCCCTAGAAACTTTTATAGGGTGGGGGAAACTTTGTACATGTATTCACACTTATCTATTTTTCTAGTACGATATAAATAATAAATAATAACATTTGAAGAAAAAAAGCCCACGGGGGAAACTGCCCTATTCATCTCCCCCCTCTTGACGACGCTCCTGTCTACACCCGTTGGTAGCACAGTTGCACAGTGCTAAAGAACAATATAAATGGTGTATCATATTCTATGACTGTACCTCAAACCAGGGCCATCCCAAAGATGAAAATCAGGGGGGTGAATAATATGAAAAATGCTGACTACAATAATTATAGAAACAATTATTGTTTTACTCTATGTATGTAGTATAATTAACTATATGTAGTTGTATTTCTACTTTTTAACATGTATATATGTGTCAGTGTCGCACGTTCTTAAAATTGACAATTTAATTATATATATATAAAATAATATTTTATATTGTATACATAATAAGTAGTTATATACATTTTATTTGTGTATACACTATATTATAATATGTAATATTTGTTTTCCGTAAGTAAAATTAGGTCCTCCCAAGCTATAATGAAACAAGTCCGACTGCCAACTAGTGTTTTCGTTGGGGGTGAGACACCTCCCAAGACCCCTCTTCGGGACGGCCCAGCTTCAGATTATATAAAATAAAAATTTTCATAAAATCTATAATCCAAAAATAAATTAATCTATTCTGTGCTGTAACTGTATTATAATCATAGAGTAAAGAATGATTATAATAGATGATAACGGCTATCAGCATGATCTTGATAAACCAGTAAATTCATCACAAAATTTGTTGTAAAAAATATGCCGGCACATATATTTTATTTGCTATCTAGACAGGTATTAGGTACTAACTAACATTCATTTTCTTTATTTTAACTCATCGGAATTGTATAATGAAACGAAAAGATAATATGTTTCATGATTTTCGTTTATCAATATGATTTGTGTCTGTGGGGAACAATCAGAATGTTAGTTACAGCTGTTAATGGTACATGATAGATGAAAAACATAGTACTCTATACTCGGGTAAATAGTGTATAACTATATAAATATTTTTTCACCACTGGCAGTTGTTAACATTTATATAATTTAAATTGTATTTATTTGTACAGTGAAACGATCAGCAAGATGAACATAGATTATAAAGAACTGCATAAAGAAGCGATATCTAACCAAATGGGCTCGTCGTTAATTGAAATATATACAACTCTGTTTCCATTACCTGTTCATTTAATCATATTTGTATGTATGTCTATTGGTACGAAGTACAGTGAAAAAATATACTCTCCAACTGTTTGGATGTTTCTTTTTGAGTTTGTTATCTTAGTGCTACCAACTGTATTTAATTTGACTTTGCTTTCAGAATATCCAAATGCTCAGTTTGTGTTTTATCTTTTCGTCTTTGTATTTCCATTCACTTGGTTGTTGTTCAACCATAATTACATATCAACAAATGACATCAAAACATTAAAAAGTCCCTACATAACTTTCTACAGATTTATGCTTAATACGTATACAGTGTTTTGTATTCTTGGTGTTGATTTTAATGTGTTCCCTAGACGTTTTGCCAAGACTGAAAAGTATGGTCATAGCATTATGGACATTGGTGTTGGATGTTATGTTTGTTCTAATGCTTTGTTGTTTAATATTCCTAAATTGCATAATATAACAAATAATGCGTTCAAAATTTTCAAACAAATATTGCCATTACTCATATTAGGAATTGGTCGTACATACTTTGTTACCAAGTCAAATTATCATCATTATGTGTTTGAATATGGTGTACATTGGAATTTTTTCATGTCTTTAGCTTTCCTCAAAATGATCAACTTGTTTATTTTACCTTTCATTAGTAAATGTTGTCTATCTGGTATTGCAACCGTTTTAGTTGTAATCTATGAAATTGTCTTAAACTGTGGTCTTGCAGAATGGATAATGAGTGATGCTAAACGTGATACATTTTTCTCAGCAAACCGTGAAGGCATTCTATCTCTAATTGGTTATGAAGCCATATTTTTATATTCTTTGTCAATGAAATGGCACATCTCTGCTTTTGTGAAAAAAGATCACTTAATAAATAATATGTTTCTCTTAATCGTAACCTTTTCTTTAACTTTTATATTATTTTTACTTGCATCATTACTAAGTTATTTTATTGGAATTTCTAGAAGATTAGCAAATGCTGGTTATGTTTATTGGATATTATCAGTATCTTCCTATCTTTTATTCATGTCAATAATTATGGAAAACTTAATTACTGTAAATTTACAAAGGATTGGCCGACTAAATAAATTCAATAATAGAGTTTCATTAATTATAGATAGTATAAATGATAATTTATTTTTTTTTTTTTTTTTTGCTAATATTGTTACTGGAGTTATAAATATTTGTATTTACACTTTAACTATGAATACTGTAATTAGTTTAACTATTTTGTCTTTATATATGTTCACTATTTTTTTCATGGTTTTTAATTTACATAATTATAAAAATAAAATAAATGTAACTAAAATGTAATTAAATAAATATAGATTTTTTTTTAGATTATAAATAAAAATATATTAAGATTTTTAATTCTTAGTTCATTTTTTTGCAACTGGACTTAATTGGTTTTCAGTTGAAAATGATTAATTCAATATTTCCATAGATTTGTAATGATGTCCCAGTTTAAAACTGCCATAACTAAAAAAATATATATATATATGTAGGTATATATTCGGTATATTATATATTACATACAATTCCATATAGAGGTTTGCTAAAATAATGACCAATTTATTAATAACTTAAGACTAGAACTAAATTCATTTTAATATATTGGGTAGAGAAATTAATATATCTTTTTCTTAATACCTAATTGCATATTTTAATATTAAAATTAATAAGACAATTACAATTCTACTGCAATTAAATTATTTTATGAAAAACTATTTAATTAAATGAATTCATTACTTTTACTTTTTATTTGTATATTATTAATTTTTACGGCATTTGTGTAGCAGATGATCTACGAATTCAGGACGAGTGATCTATGTTTTAATAGTATAAAAACACATTATATTTTTTACTACGAGTATGTCATAGCATACAAATTTTTGTCAAATATAAAAATAAAAAACAATCAGCCAAATATAATTATTATTTATATTACAGTAAACATTTTATAAAATTCAGACGCACGCATTATAGACAAACTCTGACCAACAAACAATTTGAAACTAACCAATCCATCAACATTGCTAATGACTCATAGTTATATTGTAAATGTCAATAATCGTTATTGCAATACTATCCCACTGTGGTCTGCGATAATGTGCGTATAATAATAGGTAATAATAATTGTAGATCACCAACTACACCTTGTATAATACGGTAGATCACCTGCTACACAAATACAATTTTTACTACTTGTATAAACTGTAAAATGTAATAACACATACTTGTTTTCAAACGTTAAGTAATTTTTTTAATTTTGAAAACATTTTAGGAGAAATGTTTAACACCCCCTCCCCCTTCTGGATACATCACTTTTTCATATATATATATACAAAATACAAAATAAAAATAGACAACTTTAGGTTCATCAAATGTGAGATTATTTTTTTTAAATATATCAATTTCATAAAAACAAAAAAAAAATGGTTAAATATATAAATTATTTATTTATGAATAATCATAATATTTACTAATAAATAATCATTATACAAATATTTATAGAAGTTAAATTTTATTTACAATTATTTATTCTGGACTTGTAGTTGGATTAACAGTTGGTTGAGATATGTACACTGGTGAAGGTCCATTAGCTTGAGGGGCCACCTTAAAAAAAAAATTGTTAGTAAATAATTATACAAGTATTAGTTTTAAAATAACTTACTTGTATGATTTGAGGTTGTGATTGAACTACTTGAACTTGTTGAGTTTGAGGAGAATTTTGAACTTGCATACGAAGCATTTGCATTTGATTGGAATTAAGCTGTATCTAATATCCGAAAATAAACAATATTATTATTATTAAAATATTATTTTTTTTAAACAATATTGTAATTTAATTAATTTTAGTAATTATAAATATAATAATGTTCAATAGTTAAATTTACTTTACATTGTGTATAAAGGTATGGAACTTCAATCACAATTTAAATATTCAATAAAATTATAGTGAATTATAATTAATATTATAAAAAAATACTATAGTTCAATGTTTATTAGCTTCATTAGTTAACATATACTATGTATAGATATAGTGTAATAGTAATTCCCATAGTTTAATTACATTTAAAAATTACCATTGAATATGTTCTCAACAATTTAAAAATAGAAGAAACAAAATTGCATTATTAATATTCAGTATTATTAATAATAATTCTAATATGTTTGATATTTTTTGTATAATGGTATAGAGCCTTCAAATTGATATATTGTTTTTTTTATATGAACTAACTTTTTAAGTTTTAACTTTAATAACATTGTACCAATACTTACAGGTATATGTTGTATTTCACCCGTTGGAGTGATAACTTGTTGAACAAATTGAAGTACACCACTTGAATTTGCATTTAATGTTTGAGTATTGCCTTGTAATTGTATTACTTGAGCTTGTTGGCTGCCAGTTACTGTAGTAGAAGTACTAGTTGTAATGTTTGATGTATTATTTGAAATCTAAATAAAAATATATATACACTCAATAAAAAACTAGGTATAATTAAAATAAAATAATCTCATCCTTATAGTTTCTATATAATTATTCAATATAATTATTTAAAATAAATATAAATTAGTATTAGTCAAAGGTGGAAATTGCTTTCATTTTAACATACACCAATACAATTTTTATTTATAAATATATTATTAATCATCACATACGTTTTCTATATTTACTTGATCTTGTGAACCATTTCCTAATGCTACAACTTGACTCGTTACTGGTTGTAAGATTTGTATTGTTTGTCCAGTACTAGAAGCTGTGGCATTATTTGTTTGCTGTTGTTGTTGTTGTTGTTGGGCAAGTTGAAAATAATACTGAACCTAGAATTGAAAAAAAACAAAAATAAAAAAAATGTTAACTATTTAATTATTATTTTGGAATTAAATTACAATATTGTATTTAAAAGAATCTGTTATCTTTTTTTGTATAAAAATTGTACTCTATATTTTTTTCTAGGTTTTAAAAATGTATTAAAATTATCAGTTGTAATAGTACCCTTAATAAATAAAGTAGTCTTTAAAGATAAATTTTTATCCAATATAATCAAAAATAAGTCATAATATCTATACAGTTATCATACAGAAGACATAATAATCTATACTAATTAGTACATTCAATATAAAAGTTTTGAAGAGACCTTCAATCTAAGGTCATTATATCTGATAAATCACTAAAACCGATGTCATAATAAATTGTTTCTATTGTAGATATTTTTTTAAAATCGTAGATAATAAAATATATTACTTCCAGTATTAAAACACTAATTTAATTGCATATAATAATAATAATGTATCATCATTTTAAATATACTTAACAAGGGCAATACAATAGCTCAAATGCTGAAGTTACAATTAAAATAAATGCAAAAGAACAAATTTTTTTTCTTTATCAGAGTACTTTATGTAAAATTTAAAATAACATATAGCTAGTAAGCTAGTAAAATGTATTTAGTTAATATAGTAACGAAATTAATTCGCAACTATATTTATTTAATAACGAATCATTAAGAAAAATAAAAGATTTTATTGATTGGTATTAAGCTATCATGTCAATTATATATATGTGTATATAACATATAATATGTCAATCAATGCAGAGGTCAGGTGACCCAGGAATTTATTGATAAAGACATGTCTTTAAAAAATAAACAGCATACTAAAGTTACAACTATCTAGTAGCCTAACTTGATAAAAAAAAATATATGTTATAATATAAAAATAAATGTTTTGTTATATAGAATTATTTTTATTCTAGTTTTGAATTATATTACTAAATAAAATGTTGATTAAAATAAGATATTGGATCCTAGGTATAATATTTATTTTATTTTAAGATAAAACTGCCAAGAGTTATTGTTTTATTTCATACTTAATATTGCTTTTATGTATAAGATTATAGTTCATTTTATTAATCGTTAAGGTGAAATAAACAGATATTAATGGAAAATGAAAATAAATTGATAAAAAAAAAAAAATGTACAACTATTATTGATAAAAATTCTATGTATAAAAAGTATATATATATTTTTTTTAATTTATCATAGGACAAGATTTTTATAGAGAATTTATGATAGTATATAAGAATAAGAGAATTGCATACAATGAGTAAGTAACAAGTATAATTTTTCTTGCAATTTTGTTGTAATTTAGGTATATGCAATTCCAACAAAATAAAATATGTTTAATATGATGCACTATTAGTTATAATTACTTGATCAGGATTCAGTGTGGTCTTAATATCATTTACACCTTTAGTAACAATTTTTGCTTCTTCTCTGGGTACAATATCGATAAGAAAATCAAACTGATCGTACTTGGTGATTGCCATAGCGATATCATTTCTCTGTAGAGTTCGTCGACGATTATCTTCAGTATGAATCCATGCACGAAGTGTCAGTTCATTAATGAATATCTCTGCAGCCTTTGAGAACAACATTGGCGCTTCAGCACTAATCATTTTCACATTATCGTCTAATTTCATTACTTTTTTTATTCTAGCTAGAGGTAACGCTTGTGTTTTTAAATCTAACTAAACATAAGAAGAACAAATTATAATTGCAACCAAGTATTAGATACAATAGTTTTTGATCTTACTGTTCCGATTTTTCTGATATCCTCGATTACTTTAGGCCAAAACTGATTTAAAGCAGCTACATTGCATCTAGGATTGTCTTCTACGTTTATTGTTATAGCATTAGAACCTTCTTCAGTCGGATTATCTTCCTCTTCCTCTTCAGTGGTCCTAAATATACACGCATGTATAATAAGAAGAAATATTGATAAAAAATCATTGTTACTTACGGATTCACCAAGAACACGGACATGATTGTTTAATTTTCGCAATCCAAACAAATGAATTTGCCGCTCAAATTAGCGCATCCAACCAAAATTGGCGTATCGCGATTTTCCAACAGAACAAAAGCAGATGTCCAATAGCCGTTCAACGACATAAACGACGCCCAATCATTTATTCTCGCTTATATTTTTATTGATACTAACCCAAACACACGGAACAGGGAATCCCAAAATATTTTCATTTATTATTGATAATTCACATTTATTGATGAATTTTTTTGATTACGACAAATTTTGAATAGTCTTCTGATTAATCAGTTATATCAGTTTTTATCAACAAGTAATATTATAATTATGAAAATTGAATTAGTTGTTATTTAACAATCTTAGGAACCATTGTAAACGCCGTTATCATGTATTGTACTGTATAGTACAATACATAGTTATCATATATAGTACTGTGATTTTTCGGTCTTATTTTTCATTTCATCTTTCAACTTTAAAAAATCCTGTAAGCCAAGATTTCGTACAACAATTATGCTTTATAATTTAAATGGATGCATTTAGTTTATATACAATTTCAACATAAGACTTTAAAATAGAATCAACAATAATTGTTGTTAATTATTAACAATTACTATGACTGTTGAGGTTAACGATTAATGAACATATTTTTTTATTTTTTTTTTAATATTATCTTTTATTGTTCATTATTGTGATTAACCATGTATTTTAACGGTATAAAATAAACAGTCATTGGGCTACGCAGACTTCTTTAGTATGAATATTAATAATATGTAAAATCTGTGTTGGGCAATCAAAAGTATTGGTGGGGACGGTCTGTAACGGTATTTATTTATTATTGGCATTAATAAAACTTGCCTTGCGCTTAAATTTTATTATAATACAGTTTTATTACAATTTTAGTCAATATCACATATTTCATTGTTTGTATTTTACGTATAAAAATCTGGTCAACACTAAAGGTTAGGTCATAATAAACATCGGGTTATCTATCAATATGTGTATTGATCAATGTGTAGATTAAGTAGTATTTGGTAAAAGTAATACAGATCAATAGGCTGTTAAAATGAATTTAGTGTTCAAAATACTTTTATAACGTTCAATCGACTTTTTTTAATAATTTCAAACATTTTCCGTCATAAAAATTATATTAACATTTGTATATAGAAAGTTACATAATATTATATTGATTTATTATATTTTTAACTATTAATTTTAGTAGGGCAATATTGTTATTTTTCAATTTTGTAGCATTAGCCAAAGAGTCAGCAACGACGAGAAGATAATTATGTTAATAAAATATACAATACAAATATGTATGAAATATTTTTATAGTATTCTAAATAATGTATTTGAAATTGTTATAAAATAATGGAATACATATTAAGAATACTATTTTTTATAAGTACTCGGGTATTTATTCTGAATACGTTTGAACAATCGGCCAAATTAATGTTGAGACAGTTAAAATTATTGATCAATTTTTACAAAGGCTATGTTATTGTTACCAAATTGGCTATAATAGTGTAATCATTTTTTTTTAACAATTGACAAATGTAAATATACTTCCTTACATTTATTCGCTACTTTTGAAAACACCAAGTTAAAATTACTATCAGACTTTATTAGTTATATAACATAAAATCATAGAATAATTAGTCACTACGTTGACACCCACGAATACGCGGCTTTACGAAGATCATAGTCACGGTTGTCTGAAACTCTGAAGAAAAACAACATAATTCATAATTCGAATACTATCACGCCTCTTCTTCTTGTTAACAGCCCAAGGGCTGGTTGGCACTAATTTTCCACTCCTGACGCTTCTCCGCTTTCCTTTTTTATTCACAATAAGCTCTGCAGTCCATATCTCTTACTATTTGACTAATGTAGTCCAGTGGCGGTCGTCCTCTGCTGTTAATCCCTTCAATGTCACCTTCTATTATCCTGCCAAGTAGACTGTTTTGACGCAGAATGTGTTCAATTAACTTGGATCTTCTTGTTTTTAAGGTCTTCAGAAAACTTCTTGTTTCTCCGGCTCTTCGATAAACTTCTTCGTTTGTTATGTGCTCTGTCCAGCTTATTCTAAGTAGCCTTCACTAACACCTTGTCTCGAACGATAAGTCTTTTTTCTTCTGTTTTACCTATGGTCCATGTCTCACTTCCATACAGTGCTACGCTCCAAACATAAGCCTTAAGTAAGTTTTTCCTCACTTTTATGCACAGACTTCTATACTATAGTTCTATACTTTAGTATAGAAGTCTGTGGATTCGACTCATTCGGATTCGACGGGATTTCGGTATCGTTTATCAAGGATAATCCTTATCATCATAATATTATTATCAAATTTGTTTCATTATCAATAGATCTGATTTTATTATATTGTAAGTGGGCGCCCTACTTTCTTTATTATTATTAATTATTACAAATATGTAATGTAAATGCAAAATAAAGTCCATTCTTTTGTATACATAAAGCCCATCGGAGTTTTATATTTATGATCGTATAACTTTTGTTAATCCCCTTTCCGGTATCATTGATACACTGTTCCACTCCACCCGCTGAGCGGTCAGAAACGGAAAGTGGTCCGTACATTTTGGTTCTTCGAGCCAGATCGGAATTAGTAATAGTTATATTTATTTTATATTTAAAAAATACTGTTAAGTTGATGTATACAACTAGTATAATTTTATGATACATAAGTAGGTTTTCTTATTGTTAAATTTATTATTATTATTTAAATCTTTCCTGATTTCCTTTTCAATCATTATGGGTCGTCCGAGGCGTCAGAATGTTGATAGTGCTAACAATCGGTTGGTAGATCGTGTACGCGCGTCATGGGATGCGTCGTTACGTTCAATTAAAAAGATTAATACATTAGCCGAAGAAGCTAAAATAAATGTTGAACGTCGCGCATTATTTGAAGCTCATCACGTATCATTGAAACGGTTCATTGAACAATTTGAGTTACAACAACAAGAAGTATTGAATGCTCTTGTAGAAGTAGATAATGTAGTCGAGTTTGAGACTGTTGATGCGGAGGTCACTGATGTTATGGAAGGAGTATGCACAAATATTCAAGTCATTGTAACGGGCTTCCAAAGTGCTCCTCTCAGTATGGCATCAAATACTATGGGTTTTAGTAGTACAAGGCAAGTATCACCGGCAGTGGTGCTTCCAAAAATTGAATTACCAAAATTTGATGGTGAGGTACTAGGCTGGGCTTCGTTTCGGGACATGTTTCAGTCATTAGTGTATGACAACACTTCTATCTCCAACATTGAACGTTACCATTATTTAATATTTTGCTTGTCCGGTCCAGCACTAACGGTAGTGAAAGCGATTCCTCTGACGGCGGATAATTATATCATTGCGTGGGACGCGTTACAAAAATCATTTGACAATCAAAGATTATTAGCATCTGCACATATTGACAAATTATTTTCATTTGTACTTTTAAGAAAGGAATCGTTGTCGTCACTGTGCTCTTTTGTTAACATATTTATGGAAAAAGTTGCTGCTATTAAGGCACTTGGGGTGAATGATCTCTCTGGCTTTATTTTGTTTCATATCAGCGCTCGCGTTATTGATCCAGAAACGAGAAGACTTTTTGAAGCCAGTATTTCTCAGAATTCAGTACCTAATTTAGATACTTTGTTACAATTTTTCGCACAAAGATGTAAGATTTTAGAAAATGTTGGAACTAATGATAAACAAGATAATACTGTTAAAAGTAATGATAAGAGGATGAAAATAGGGTCTCTTGGTAGAACCTCGCTTTCAGTTTCAACTTCATCTACCACAGCCAAGTGTGTATTTTGTGAACAGAATCACCCGTTATATCTCTGTTTTACGTTCAAACGGCAGTGGGTCGCAGCGAGGAGGAAGCTTGTCAGTTACAACAATGTGTGTTTTGTTTGCTTAAATACGGGACATCAAACAAAATCATGCACGTCGACGTTCAAGTGTCGAACGTGTGGTGGCAAGCATAGTATCCTATTGCATCTGGACAATATGAAGACGGTCGTTGATAGTGATGTCAAGCGCTCAACGGAGAGTGCGGAGTCGACGGCAAACAAGATACCTACCGACAGTCCAATCAAGTTCTCCGGGGCTGCGCGTTCAGAAACCACAGTGATTCTAGGCACAGCAATTGTACGCGTGATTGACAGCATGGGCAATTTACAACCGGTACGCGTTTTGCTGGATATTGGGTTCCAGGTGTCCGCGATCACGTCGGAGTGTTCGTCTCGACTTGGATTAAAATGTATCAAGAGCCGAATAGAGGTAACAGGACTATCTCAACAACGAGTGACTAAAGTCAAGGGTGTCACGCAATGTAAATTTGCCCCTCTTCACACGGAAGGTCCGCAGTTTTGTGCTTCAAGCGTCATCTTCCTTAACCACATCACCATGCCATTATCGAGTGATAAACTGCCTACTACGGTGCGGGAACGGTATCACCATTTAGTCCTTGGCTGACCCACGATTCCTGTGTACATCATCTGTATGCGATGTCGGTTTACAATTCGAACACGAATAGCGTTACGTTCGTACAGATGTCATGTACGAAACCGTTACCAAGAACGAAAGACGAACACGTCCCGGGCCGAGCAAGGTGGCGTAGGAAAAAAATATTTATGGGTTCGGTGATGGGGGGTATATTAAGGCATGGGCGGAACTAAGGGAACACGGAGATTCATCCCCGGGCGTAACATTTTAGAGGGTGTAATTGTTGTAATTGTTAACAACTAATTTGATATTTTTAACTCTGCACCTCTGCGATGAGGTGAGATTTGAAATCAATAAAAAAGAAAAAAATTAATCAATAGAAAATATTGAAAATTAATTTATGAGTTAAATCAAGACCAAATATCACTTATAAAATGATGTAAAAACCATGAAATATTCAGTAAGACATTAATTTATTAGGATATTAATGGCGGACAGTTTTTTTATAAGTTAATTAGGACTCACTTTAATTTATTTATATTTATTTATTTATTTTTTCATTGTCATTCGAATTCGTCACATAAACTTTAATATAAAAATAATGATTTTGGATCTATTACGGCAATCTCATTAAATTATTTGATGTCGCATCTAAAATGTTCCTTCGTAAAATCCATAAACGTTTATCCTCGTCCGTTCTTAAACGATTTGGAACCTTCAAAAAGTACATCTAAAATGTTTCTTCGCAGAACCCATCGGCTAGTTCATTAACGACGCATTTTGGGTTTTTAATTTTTTTAATTTCAACAACTCTTCACGTAATAGACCACGAATTAATAAAATACAAACACTAAACGCATAAAACATTTTATCAACACTTTCGACTAAAATGCAGCCAAGAAATAGCTGAACCATGTGTCTTAAGTTCCTCAATCGCTTGAGATAGCGTTTACATGGGTCAATCGTGGTAGAAAGACTATCGCTGCACATCGCGTCTAGCCCTATCGAAAACGTATTGTGTTTACACGTTTAACACTTGGCTACAATTTCTAGACGAAAGCGCAGACAAAACGTCTTATCCGTACGGAGTTGGTGTTTTATTAATTCGTGATTCAATACACAAAGAATTATTACGGATAAAAAATTGTAAGTCCAAAAAGCATCGTATATGGACTCTCCGATGGTTTGTACAAAGGAACATTTTAAGCGTACCTTTTGAAGATCCAAAACCGTTTAAGAACGGACAAAGATAAATGTTTACGCCTTCTAGAAAAAGTTTCTTGCGGAAAATACCGACACGCGAGAATCACCGCCAGTAAGAATGAAATTTCGTCTTATTTCAATTTCTTTCAATTTCGTACGTGTTCGCCGTCGCCGTCGCGTCTTCGTACATTCGCGATTTCTCCCTGCATAAAGTTCAACACCCGGTCCCACAGTTCTCTGCTGACGTATAACATGGACTCCGACACGTAGTGCTCTCCCCGCAGCTTCAGTTCTACTTTCAGCCAGAGCACCGTCGTCGTACCCTTGTTCCACAACCATTTGACTTCGGTCGTCAACATCAAGTCCGCTCCGGGGTCGCCTGCTTCTTCCGTTTCGGCGTCCGCTGTGCCGACGACCGATTGATGGCCGTGGTTCAGATTGGTCGAGGTTCCGGCGTCCGCTGTGCCGACGTCCGAATGGAGGCCGTGGTGCAGAGTGGCTGAGGCAGTGACTTCCTTTGTGATGTCGACCGATTGGTGGTCGTGGTGCAGTGCGGCCGAGGCAGTGGGCTCTCCATCAGCTAGTCGGTCGATCGTTGACAACCAACACTTCTTGTGCATCACGCACTTGCACGCTGTGAAACGCGGACATTTCAAGTTATGATTAGAACACGATGTTTTTTGCTCGACTTGAGCACGCGCAAATTAGAGCGAAGCGTTCGACGATAAAACAGTATTCTTTTGGAAAAATTTCCATATCGAAACCTAATTTCTAGCCGTACGCATGTCTCAGAGCCTTACCGATGCATTTAACCATTTTGCGGATCCTGAACAAAACGGAAAAAAACGAAAAAAAAAATGAGAGACAGAAACAGAGATTACGAACGCCGTAGGGAAACGGTACTTATTTGTTGATACGTGCACGGGAATATACGAAGCGACGGCTGTCGTAAAATACGGACACCACATCGTGTTTTGACAATAACTAGTTATGGAAACGGTCGGTTTCTTCGATTTCAATTAAATTTCAATTGGCACGTTTGCCCTCCCTCCGTTTAAGCTCTGGAAGCCCCTCAATGCGTGTACTTCTCGCAACACTACGTTAACGGACATCATTATTATTAGTAGCATTTCATCTCTCGAACCGCACGTACGATATTCGTTTTCGTTTTCGTTATTAAATACTTTACCCTTTTTCCCCGTGGTACTGAATCTATGAGTTGAGGCAGGATTTTTGGTAACTGTGTTCTTGATTTTGGTTGTGGCTGGGGTTTGACCGGTGCGGCTATTGCCGCCCGAGGCCGACGACATTTGAAAACACTAATTAGAATTAGAATTATTAAAGACCGAATTAACTTATCAGTGGAACACACAGTGGCAGGATTGTACGCTACGTCTGCGTGAATACGACTTATTTATTTTTTTTAAATTTAAAAGCTAGAAAAATTATATTTGTTTAAAACTGATTTTCTTACAAATCATACTGTATCATATAACAATAGTTTTACTTTTAATGCATAACTATTAAATTCCTACTTAAATATTTTTTATTAAATACCTTATTAAATAAATGCAAGTATGTTTACAATATAATTTATATTAATTACATTTTTTAATGAAGTAATTATTAGTATATAATAAACATCAAAATATAATCCATATTATATATTATATAGTTAAATTATACACTACTTGACGTATGACACATTAAACATTTTACATAGGTAATAAATACAATAAAAAATAAGTTTAGAGTTATCAAAAATATTTAGTACATTAAATACTCCTGCTGTGTAAAAATGCACGTTTAAAATAGATCTAGAATTTGTTTTTATGTTTTTATAACATTTATTAAATAATATCTCGATGTTTGAATTTAAAGTAATAATAATTATAAAATAAGTTTGAACATGGGATAATTAGCGCAAGAAATTGATTACAAAAAAAAATATACTTGTTCACTCACGGTAGATATAAAGTCTAGTACATATTTGTTTTTTTCTCATTCAAATTACTTCAATAATTAAATATAACTTCATCGATATTTCACTATTTATCAATAAAATTAATTTTTATCTTTTTATTTATTATGCATAATAAAATACATGTAGGTACGTGGTATTTTGAGGTGATAAACATGAATAATTATTTCCTTTTACAGTTAATTATTAGTTATAATTTTTATACAATTATTGTTTCATTTTATATAAATTTGTGATTGGTTGTTTCAACACAATTAAAAGACTAAAAAGACAATAGTGTCATGAACTGCTAACACAGTACTTTTCAACCTGAGGGTCGCGAATCATAGGTTTAGGGGTCGCCAAAAATAATGGATGAAATGGTTTTTCCATATTATTTAAAAAAAAACTAAGTCAATTATTTATTTTGTGAAATTTTTAAGTGTTAATTAATTAAAATTGTTTATCATGTAAATATTTTATGGGTAATTACATAACATTTTGATGAATAAAACAACATTTTTTTTTTGAAGGAGTAGCATTATACAAAAAATAAAAAATGAGGGGGGGGGGTTACGATCTGAAAAAGGTTGAAAACCACTGTGCTAATCTAACTAATTTTATCATGGCGTAATATCTCCACTAGAGACGGTACTCTGTCTATTCTATCATTTATTTTTATTTTATTTACTTATCAATTTAATTCCATCTTCCGATTGTTCTTATTGTTTTATATTGTAACAGATTGAATATAAAACTTTTAAAAACAAAGAAAAAAGTTGTATTAGTTGCATTTATCTCGCGTTCAAATTCATGATGTTCAATTTTATCGAGTACTTAACTCTATGGATTTTTAACCACTTCTGCACTACTACGTTGACTATTCATTTCATTTTCTGATTCTCTGTTAGTACTGTTATAACTCATAGCGTTATATCTAATTGGATACGTTAATAAATTTCCTTGATCCCAAGTAAATAACTCTTTACTTTGATGATTGTATTGAATCAATGTAGTATGCGCAAATGGATTTGTAAATGATAAACCAATATCATTTAAACGAACGTTTTTGTATAAATCCAATGCAAATCTAAATATAAAAAATTAATCAAATTATTATACGAAATAATAATCATTGTTTATCATAAATAATAATTGTAAGTGCCTGATGGTTGTGTTCCTTTCAGTTACACTATGAACTGCATACAACACACCACAAACAATGAACATATCTCCTGCTCGGTCGTGTTTGATGCTTATATTCCATGCATACTCAATTTCTAATGAATTAGGATCTACATGTAAGACAGCTGTATTGTTTGAATCTTCCAAACCATAAATGATCCATAATCCATTTTCTTCGACAGCTAAATCTACATAATTCATCCTAAGTTTAAAATATAACATTAAATCATATGATAGACTAGTCGAATTAAAAAATGTAACTTTGGTAGTTTATTTATTACTTGGTTGTATATAAACGAGTTTTGGGATTAGTAACGTTCAAATATGGGACCGTCATATTTGAGTACTTATTTTCTTGAACATCATACTTTTGAATCAATGGCTTGTCTTTTTCTTGAAAATAAAAATAACCTTTGTACATTGCATGGCTGTTTCCCTAAGGTAAAATTATAGTTTATCATTACCAATATTTTTTAAATTTAAAAAGTTGGAGATTATGTGAAACTTTGTACAAGTATATTATTAAATCTTGCTTGACAATTTCACTTCGTTAATTTCATCTAGATTTTAGGTAGTTATTATTTTTTTTTTTTTTAAATGTATAGTTCTTTGTTAATGATTTAATAATTTTAAAATAATTATCTAATTATAACCTGTAATTACAAATCACTCACGTGGTAAGGTATCGTCAAGGTATGTGTTCTGGTTATGGTATTTGATTTAAACATAGATTTATTGGAAAACTCTAAAAGAGTTTTTGATTCATTTACTGTCGCCCAAATTGTTTCGTTAGATAAGCGTGGAGCTGGATCTTTCATCCAAGATCCAAAAGCAGCATTTAATACATTTTTATGGAAGACCGGTTTTCCCACAGCATATACTTGACAATCTAAAATATAAACACTTTTAAAGAATTGTTTCATTTTAAACTTCTATAAATTACCCAAAGTTCTATTTGCGTGGCCTTTAGTGGTTACTCTGTGTAATTGTTGTACAGATAATGGTTGATGACCTAACAAATCATCAATTGTAAATTCTTCCTTACATTCTTTGGTTTCTTTTGATTTTGCGGGACAAGTAGGACAAATTGTTATAGGTGGGCAAATATCATCTATATCAATTAGTTCCTGGGGTACTTTACCGAACTTGATTTTATTATTAGGGTCAACATAAGGTGGGGGTGTGACCAAAGTTGGATCAACAACTGAAATGTTTAAAATATACATATTATTGAAATTCTTTTGCATTCTATTTTAAATATTTACTGAATAATGTGATATTTCCAGGTACGATTCCTTCTTCATTTTTACTCACACAGTAATATGTACCGTTATCCGAATCATTAATAGCCGATATATTTAATTGTGTTATAAATTTATAATTATTTATATCTATTTGAGTGATACTATATTTATCACTATTTTCTAAAACTTCTCCATCTCTTTCCCAATAATGAATTGCATATGGAAAAGCTTCTATTTCACATTCAAATGATACTGAACGATTGACTGCTGTAGCTACATTTTGATTTAACACAGATATGAGCGGAGGGACTAAAAAAATAAAAATGTTTAGTATAACATATATTTACATAAATATATTGATGATAAAATAAAGCATAATATAAAAACTATTCAACAATTCCAAGAGTAAAGATTTGATTTATAAAAAAAAATTTCTGTAAAATTTCAGTAGTAAGTCCTTTGTTATTTTAATCAGCGGTGCGACTAGGAAAGAGTTATATAGAGTCCAACGACCCATATAACTTCAAATTAAATAAAGAAATGTAAATATAAAACACATTTTATATACATTATTTTTTGAATAATCGGTGGATATTTTTTATTTTTTATATCTAAGCTTGAATCATACTAGCGAAAATGATGTGTTGTTTTAATAATTATGTTTACGCATACATTACCAATAAGTAACACATAAATAAAAATTAATAAGAGTATCATGATATTAATTATTAGAAAAATATGTGCGTTCAGTTGTTTTAAAACACATGCTGCAGGTTATACAATTAGTACGTACAATACATATACTGAAGTAGAAACAGCTACGTCAAGGAAGAAAAAATTATTTTATTGATAAATTCCAGTCATTATCAATCTATTAAGTGTAATGTGTATCCAATATCCCATGTAATAAGATGTTATATGAATCTTTTGGTGTACATTTACATTCGCAAATAATTTTAACTTCAAATCAAGAAAGCTAAACATTGCATGTGATTATTTTCAAATTATCTGATTAAAATAGTTTAAATACAATTTGACCATAACCATAAAAGGCTTCTACCATTTTTTTCACCATTCAAAAAAGATTTTGGATATATATTTAATTATTTTTATTAGTGATGAAAAATGATTTTTCCCTGTTACTAGGTAAGTGTAATTCTCCATTAACTTGAACGTGTAATCATTTGAGCACTCTTATAATAACAAGGAATACTGCTGTATGTGTAAAAACAGCACTTTAATCGTTGTAACTTAATATAACTATTGTTTTGCCTATAATCTAAAAAAAAAATACTTACAGTGTGTTTCAATTGAGTAATATTGGACTGCAGATGGAGGTACGCCATTATCAGCAATACATTTATAACGGCCCATATGGAGTCTATTGACTTTTGTAATATTTATAACATTACCAGTGACTACTTCCTCTAAAGTAAAAATAATAAATATTATAATTAAATAATGTACTAATGAATTTATTAGTTCCTTTTTTTTAATACAATCACCTCTCCATGATCCCATTGGAACGGTTGAAGTATCAAGTTTTTGCCATACAATTGTAGGCTTAGGAGATCCTGTAGCTACACACCGTAACCTTACATTATCACCCTCTTTTACAGTTATATTCTTTAATTCGGACTGTCCAATTATACTAGGCGCTGTCAGAAAATCTGTAGTAGGAATTCCATTCACTGTATAATTAAAAGCACTTAATCCTGGTTTACCAGGGGTACCATCAACTCCTGGTTTTCCTGGTCTGCCTTTTGGTCCAGTTAATCCTAATTAATTCATTATTTAATTAAATAAATAAAGTTGAATAATTAATACATCAATAACATATTTATTTTGGAAATTAGTTGTTAAATTAATTCATTTTGATTAAATCGTATAAAAAGAACTATTAAGTAATATGAATTGATTAAAACTTGCAAGCACTTCAATAATACATCCGAAAAAAAAAATACGAATAAGTATATATAAACCAATTTTTATTTCTAACCTTTTGGTCCTATCGGACCTGGAGGTCCCATTGGTCCTATTTCACCAGGCTTTCCATCAGTGCCATTAAAACAAGTTGCATCCTTTCCTGGAGCTCCATTAGTTCCAGGTATACCTTAAGTTACAAAAAATATTGATAATGATATGGGCTGCTTAACAAATCTTTTCAAATTAAAGCAATAAGATTTAATAAATTAATTTTTAGATGGGCATTGTTAAAATAACTAACCAAACCCCAGAGTTAAATTAAAATAATGAATACTGAACAAATATTAAAGGAAAAGTTAACAAATTTGATATTTATAAAACGTTTAATAAACATTTATTTATCACAATTATAATAGTAAAGTACATAATAAATTGTTATAAATTGCTAGTTTACTGCAATATATGATAGACTTTTGGTGTTTTATTAAATAATTTGATGCTCATAAATACACATCCAGATAAATTTAACAATTACCTATAGAATTATATGAAAATATGAACATTTTAATCAACTAAAAAATAGGTAAAAAAATTTTTTTTTAATTATATCATATACAGAGTACATAGGTATACGAATTCACTAAAAAATTCATATCTCTACGATTATTATATTTAATGAACGATGAAAACAAAAAATTAGATTTAGTCGAAAACTGGTATGCAGTAAATTTTTTTATAATTTGTCAGTTTTTTGCAATTATTTATAATAATGTTGGAAAATTCGTAGTTATCTCATTCAAAGAATTGACAAGACAATATTTTCTATTAGATGACTGTGGTGATCGGATGGATCATTCTAATCAAAGTCATTTACACAGACACGAAAAAAACACAGTGTTTTGTTATAATGTTTGCCATTATCATATGTATATAGAATTTAAAATTTATTTATTAGGTCACATAAATTTTTAACCAATTAACTAAAATATATAAAAAATTTATACAAACCATCCAGACCGTTTTTTCCAGGTACTCCATCTAATCCAGGTTCTCCTGGAATTCCATCACGCCCGTCCAAACCTAAGTTTTTTTAAATATGTTATGATTATTTATTACTAATTAAAATTAGAAATTTAATTTTTTTTTCAATTTACAAATGGGTATTTTTTTTTAAATATTAACTCAATATGTTCAATTCTTATACTACTTATACATTTGACGATTTAAAATTTTGACTAAATTATTTATAATAATAAGTAACAAACAAATTGTACGTTTAAAGTAAACATATTTTGAAGTTTAGTTAGAAATCATTATTAATATTTAACTTAATAGAATTTTAGGAAGTATTAATTATGTTTTCTTACCAGAATTCCCTGTTTTACCAGTATCTCCTTTTTGTCCTTTTGGACCCACCTATAATTTAAAATGTTTTTATTTTATTTCGTGAGAAAAATTTAGATGTTTGATGCCAATGTTTAAAACATGGCACTTACGAACCGGCCCTGGTATTCCTGTTGGACCTTGTGGACCATCATCACCTATTGGGCCTTTCAGACCTTCGTCTCCTAAGACACATAAAATAAATCATTGTGTTATGTCTCAATAAAGTTTATACATAATTTAATAGAATTATATTTTATTGAAAAAATTGAATACATTTGTACAAGAAATAAAATTAACATCATTATAATTTTTAATAATAATTATACATTTGGACTTGAAAGTGTATTTTTAAATTTTTTGTGTGACTAAAATATTAATACAAAAATAAAGTATAGCAGTTTAATATAACGTACTAAAATAAAATTATTATTTTTGTAGGCAGGTTGTTTCGCAGAATATTATTAGGTATACATAAAAGGTACTGCATGTACAAGCATCTATGTACTTTTCACTCATAAATGAAAATCGGGGGGGAAGCCCCCCAGAAATGTAAAGTACAGGTTTTATCTCCCCCTAGCTCTAAAAATTGTTAAGTGACTAAAAATACAATAATTATTATAATTGTAAAATGCATTTTTAATAACTGAAATAAAAAAATAAATATTCTGTGATAAAAATTAAACCAAATTCTTAAGATTTTACAAACTTATTGTCATGACTTGGAACGATCGTAATTAATGTAATAACACCCGTATTGGTTGCTTAATTTAATTAATTAATAATTTCTGTCTAGAATATCTACTCCAAAAATGTAAAATGATAAGGCACCTAATTGTTATTTTGGTTAAATTGTTGAGTATGTCAAATTGTCAAACTTTGTAAATTGCCTTGTTGAAATAAATAATTGCGTACAGGGGTACCTATAGGTGTAATAAGTAAATAATGCTTAGCTCTCCACTAATTTCACCAAATTTCCGCTTATGTTTTCACTATTAGTAATATTAATTCTAGTTTATGCATTTTTTTATTTATGTACTTATGATTACAATATTAGTTATTACATATGTATACTCGTATGCTTGATTTAATGTATTTTTTTATTAATTTATTTGGATGGAATGATATCTCTAGAAGATATAACGTGTTCACTGAACACTGTTCAGCATACCTTTAGTTCCCGGCACTCCTTTCGGACCAGGTTCCCCTCGAGGACCAATAGGCCCTTCTTTTCCTGGAGGACAATAGTCTCTTGTAGATGCGCAAAAACCTTGTAAGGCAGCTACCTAAAATATAGTTATTTTAGTAAAACTACTTAATTACATTTGTCTACAATAATGTGCTTACAGGTATTCTCGAGTAAGCGTTGAGCCAGTACCATTCCTCTTTAGTACTGTTCGGTTGTTCGTTTTTAGAGTTTATTTCTTTTTCTACGATAGGCCGGAAATTCGGATTGATAAATTCCACTTTTTCTCCTTCACCTTCATTTTTAGACGACACTGAATTTTCAGCGATATTCACATCCCTGCGAGATCGATGACTCACCGCTGCCTCCAATGTCGAGCACTTGATATCCACTTCACGTATATACTCGTACAGTCCATATAGCAGAACGTATTGCACCGTTATGACCGTAGCTAAGCACACATTCGGTATGTACTGCATGGTTAAACATTCAACTTGGTCGAAAGTATAGATGCAGTTGACATTATATTTAAAAACGAGGGGCCCCAATATCTATCAGTGAAACACAACGATATACACAATGACTTAATTAGATACTTTAAATATAAATCTCCCCTCTGCGAACAGTAAACAATATTGTTTCAATCAGAAACAATTAATGGTATGTTTTTTTAATTGAAATTAATTATCAGAAGAATCGATGATCGATAAAATTAACACTCAACAATCTCTAATATTTAAAAATGTTAAAGAAAAAAAATGATTCCGTACACAATTTTCAGTAAAGTAATCTGATATTGTAATGAATGCTCATTGTATGATTCTATTAAGTATCCAGTATAATTCTTCATGAACATAAACAATATTTTTCAAAGGACATTTAAAGTGCAATAACTACGAATAATAAAAACAATTCTAATAAGCATAATTTTAAGTGAGAATAGAATAAAATTTAAATATCATGAAGAATATAGTTATTTGTATGCAGTATGCGTATATTTTTATAGTATCTATACACAAAAAAATAACATCAATAATTTATGCATCTGCAACACATTTACACAAAATCATTTAAATCTAACTTTCTAAAAATAATTGACTTATATATATATATATACATATATGTTAGCGTTAATGTATGAAATTCCGTAATTCTATAAAATAACTAGTTATTCTATGGAATTACGGGTACTTTCACTTAATGTATTGAATGAATCCATAAATACATACTTCAACTAGTAATTCTATATACTAACTAGATATTTTATAAACTAACAATAATGGTATAGTTAATGTATTTAAAACGATTATTATATTAAATATAAATATTAATTTATTTCACGTTAATTTATTTGAATTATTAAAATCTTAAATAAATTTTAAATAACAATAAAAAGTCAATAGTTATCAATAGTTTTTTATTATAGTATTATAAACTTATTCTATTATTATAGTTATAATTATTAAATTATTTTTTTTTTTTTACAATTTACAATTTATTTATTAATACACGATCTTTTTGGATGGCATTTAGAGTTACAAATTAAATTATTTTTTAAACATATGCACCGTTTTGTGGTGCACTTTTGTTGACATATGCATTTGAAAAACCCATGACAATTACCTAGTGATTGGGATTCGGATGCCTTTCAAAGACAAATAATATACATCTGCATCTGGAACGTCAATAAGCGTAATAAACTTTTCTGTACATAAACTAAAACACATTTGGGAGTGCTAATTTCGAAAATAGGGGTTCTAAGCACACCCAAGACCCCCCAAATTGCGCCTATGCCCTCGCGTAAAGTTGTTTTACAATTTCTTCACTTATTAAAAAATCATATTTTTCTTTTAGCGAAAACGTGTTATTAATGTTAATTAATTTATGGTAACGTTTTGTTGTGGTATTTTTTATAATTGTTTCAAATGTGATTTTCATTATAAAGCATATTTAAGTTTTTATACTATTTAACACTGAAAATTATCAAACTAATTATCAAACTAGGTAGAATCAAGGTACACTGTTAAGGTAAGTGTCCACTTGAGATTATAGCTCGAGAGAAAGTCTCAAGATTGATCTCAGGGTGTTATCCATTTTAGGTCACTCGCGGTCTCGAGATAGGTTTTTAAGACTCGAAAGTGTCATTAATCTCGATACCAAGACAATTTTATGTCGACTAGAGGGTACACATGTTTTTTTTTACAAAATTTGAATGTTTTTTCTTTCTTTTTTTACAAAATGGATTCGCATCAGGCCCTAACTTTTATAATTGTGCATAATATTGTACAAAAACAGAAGATAAAAGAAAAAAGAAAAAAGAAATGTTGGGTTAGGAAATGGGTGAACCGTCGAAGTGATTTGGGAGCCGCTTCAAATCTTGTAAATGAGCTTCGGTTGGAGAACGCACAGCAGTTTAAAAATTTTATTCGGATGTCTGCAGTGCAATTTTAAATGCATTTGTATTTAATAAAACATCAGATTTTCAAGCAAGATATACAATTGCGTGAAGTGATTTCTGTTCATGACAGATTAATGGTCACCCTTCGTTTTTTGGCTTCAGGTACGCATGTGGATTTATATATATATATATATTGTTTTGTTTCAATATCTCTATCCAATTTTTGGCGGCTGATTTTAATGTTGATGTTTTCCTAATATGTGTATTTTAAATAATTGCATGTTTATATCAGCCGTCAAGAATTGGATAGTGGTATTTATACAAAACAGATACAAAGATAATATTTATAGCTGAGGAACAAAGATATATATATATATATATACAGGGGCGGATAAGGCCGCCGGGACACCGGGATTTTCCCGGTAGGCCGCTGCTTATATTGACGAAAATGGGCCGATGAAAAATATTACTACTATATTAATACTATTATACATGTACATCATTGATTATATATTATAGCATAGATTGTTCACTGCAGTAAAAAAACTGCGCGTTAAATGGCGAGTGCCGTTACGAGGCTGCGTGTCTAGTTGTGGCGGGTGCCGTCAAAATCGCTAGAGTAGTTCACAGGAGTGGGGATCTGTAACGGACGTTACCGAAGGCGTTAAATAATATTGCGTTTGTACTTGATATAAATTACGGGAAAAAATATTTATAGACATTTGAAATTTTAGATTTTTTTTAGTTTCTTTCCATAAAATATAAATAAAAAAATTTTAGTTCTCAGAAAATGTTTGAAATTTTAATACTATGTTCCTCATACATTATTCTTACTCCTGTGAAAAATCTTAAAAATCTGTAGTCACAATTTTTATAAATAAACATTTGAATTTGAAATGTTGTTAAAAATGACAAAATCAACTTTTCACTACAAAAAGTAGGTACTTTTTGTAGTGAAAAGTTGATAAGCATTTCAATATCAATTCTTTAGAAATAAAACTTGTATAGGTATATAATATAATAAAGAAGTTGTTTTATCCAGTAAACAAAAAAACACAAATTACAGGAGCAGCTCAAACATTTTTAATTACGCGTTTAAAATTTAAATTTTGATGAAATCGGGTGTTCCGGAAATATATATTAAACGACGTTAGTTATTTCATCGTAACTCAAAAATCATAATTATAATAACAATAGGAGAGACTTGAGATTTTCACAGAAGACTTATGAAAACATTTTCTAGAGGTGGTGTAAATTTTAAAAGATTTCGAAAAATTTTATTTTATAATAAGTATTTTAAATTTAAATATTTTTGCTTGTCATCATGTTTTTATCTTTTTATTGTTTGAAAATTAAATACTAATTTCTTCACAAGTTTAATGACAAAACTATTTTTGAAATTATAATGATCATGTTGTATAAAATTAAATTCATCAGATGAAAATAATAATAACAATATCGTTACAAGAAATTAATGTGAACAGTTATAGAAATTGATAATAAATCATCAATTTAATTCTTGTAAGTATTGATGCAAAATCAAATCAAATCTTATCAGTAGATGCATTAAATGTATTGACGCCAGAAAAAGTTTATCATTCTACAACAGTAAATAACTTTGATCATACAAATTCAGCATCGTCTATTTTTAGTCCAACATTATCTCTAACATAAAATACAAGAAAATATATTTCTGATTTAACTAAATTACCTTCGTCGTCTGAAAAATGCAATTCTACATCTTTAAATACTTGTTCACGGTAAAAATTACAATTAAAAAACGAAGAATTAGAAAAACGTTGTAAACAATTGTCAAAATTATTGGAGAAAAAAAGAGCAACTATTAGTTTTTTAAAAATTAAAATTAAAAAAAAACAAAATCAAATATTAACGAATTATATCAGTCAGTCAATTTTTCATCTACAAGTTCAAAAATCTAGTAACCATGAAAATTAACCATAAAAAACTTAAACAATGGAATACTGAAGAAAAAAAATTATCCTTGTCACTTTACAATAAATCGCCATCGACATATAAATTTATACGCCAAAATAAAATCATTTTACCCGGTGAAAATAATAATATATAATCAATGATGTACATATACAAATAAAAGTAAATAATTATAATACTAATAATATATATTTAAATCTAACTTAAATCTATAAATATCATAGTAAATTCCTTTAAAATTAAAAGAAAAAAAAGTATTTACAGTAGTATTAGATAATTTTAAATGTAATTTTTTTTATGTATTATTTTAATCAAAAATTAAAAATTAAATTTTATTCAAAATTTCGAGTGCAAATTTTTTTTTTTTAATGCATATTTTAACATATTAGTGCATAATACTTATGCCTTTCGAAGATCTTTTAGTGCGTATTTGATTTTTTTTTTAATGCATACAATTCCGTGCTATTATGATAATTGATTGTTCAGATTTAAATTATTATATATAGTCACTAATAATACGCCACGGCAAAGTTGATTACTGATATATCATGTTTTTCTAAAATAATTATACACGAATCATGTAAATAGTATAATATTGCTAAAATGTTGTATAACCAGGCAGTGGCGTGTTGAGCTAATTTTTGGTGAAGAGCAAAAATGTTTATACCGTAAGGTACCCTTTATTCATCCTAAAGGCATTTCCACCACAACAAAACATTTACAATTTAAAAAATATACGTATACGACTGATTTGTATAATTAAATGTACTTACTTAATTACATAGTTAATTTATTACACCTCATTAATTATTTTGTATCTTGATCTATGCAGTGTGTGTGAATTTTGAATAATGTTGTTAACATTGGTATTGCAACTAGTTAGCACCAATTGTTTCTAAAGTAACGGATCATATACAGTACATTTGTGCACCAAATATTTACTATCACTTAAAACATTTAATATGATGTTATGATTTATCTATATTATTGTTAAGTATTTTTTAGCAGAGGGACACCCACCTACTAAAAATTTCAAAGGAGCCATTGCTCCAAAATAATATCATCATCACGCCACTGTAACCAGGTATGCTTCAAAACGAATTAAAAAGAAAAAGAGGTGCAGAAAATAAAAAAGATAAAAATCGTAGAGTTGTTAGATGAGAGCAAAACATGTGTAAAATTGGATATTAAAACCATTGATTATAAATACTAGTATTTATAATCAATGGTATAACATATATTATTTAAGAACGTCGAAAAAAAAGGTGGCGATTGCCGGGTTGGTTCTCTCAAAGTTGAGGTAATTGTTTAGTTGGAACTTGGATATAATCATGCGGGCCGCTGTATTCTATTTTTCCCGAGCCGGTCAGATTATGCCTATCCACCCCTGTATATATATATATAGTATTTTTAGTATTAGATTAAGGTCTACATGCTTTATTTTTTGATATTACCGTTAATGGATTCAAGAAAAAAAAATTACGTTTAAATAAGGCTTAAAAATCCTCTTCCCAGTCGTATGTATAAGTATAATATAACCACTTCTCAGGCAGAACATAGTTATAGTTTTATAGTTGATCAGTTTACAACTCATAGATTATAAACTAAAGAGTAAATTAGTAACTTTTTTAATTTTTCTGCAAAATTATACCAGTGGCAACCCGCGACCCATATCTGACATGACTTAACTTAATTTAATCTATTCTGTGTTACAACTAAAACACACTTATTTTGAAACCAGGGTTTTAGAAAATCTAAGATCGTATTCAAAACAATCAATCAATGTTACATGTCTAGTTTTTTTTATTTCATTCGTTAAATATTGTACAAATTACGGTTAGAAATATTGTCGTCTAATATCAACGAGTCATGCAACATTCTTGGTGACGCATCATTGAACACTGGTACAAGTGTTATTACTCTGTAAACAAAGTTATTCACTAAAAATATTTGATATGATTAGAAAAAGTCAACAAATCAGTCACAAATTAGTTTTCAAATTTAAAGTTAAATTTCTATGCAAATATTTATTTGTATGTTTGTTCTTATATTTTTTTATTTCTCAATAGTGTTATCAAGTTAATAGTATATCAAGAGAATAATATCATATTTGTGTGTAGTTGATATAACTTCGAGCTGACAGGTAAATTATGTGTATTGTCTCTTACATAGTTGTTTTAGTTCAAAATTTATTGATGGATCTACATTCAACTTCTATTTTAAAATAACTAATTTTACATTAATTATTTTTCCCCGTTATGTTTGTAATTTTTGGACATTAAAATATACAATATCCATTGATGTATTTTTATAAAATATTTTTTGATTTAGTATTTATACATTGTTTGATAATACTTATATTATACTTATTATATTGTATAGATTTATTCTTATTAAAATATGTTGAAATGTTGTTATTGTTTCTGTTAAAGCCATGTAATGAACATTTATTGTTATCATTATTGTAGTATTTTTAATCTTCGTCAATTTTTTTTTTTTTACAAATGATAAAGTTATATTATTTTTATCAACTAGATTTGTTTAAATAATCAATAATTTATTTATTATTTAAAATTATATAGTTACTTAAATAGTTTTTAATATTATAGTATTATTGTAGATCAAAAATGTTTATACTGTTCTTTAGATAAATATTAGTTATATATTTTTATAGATATAAACATAATAATGCATCGAAGTATAGGAAAACGAATTCGCATGGATGATCCTCCTCCTATGGAATATGATATACCATCTACACCAGGAAGTTCTATTCATCCAAGTCCTATGACACCTAGCCGCTCAGACTATCAAGAACATTACAATCCATATGCAAATTATCATAATGTTCAGACACCAAGGTAAAAAATAAATGTAGCAATAACTTTTGTTTTTATGTGACAAAATGTAATTGAATCATAATAAAAATAGTGAATACTCTTCTAGTTCTGAAATCTTTAGAATGAATAGTTTTCAAGAACCTGGAATATTAGACAATCATTGTGAACCAGCTCTTCAACAGGCTCAACAATCCCAATCTATGATGACTTATGAAACAGCTCCTCCACATGTTTCTCCGTCTATGCACGATGAAATTAATATGCAAGATCATCAATCTACTCAAATGCCTGTGAATGATGCAATGTCCAATTTAAATTTAGAAAATCAAATTCCATCAACTAGTGGTGGTATTGTTGATTCGCCTAGTGGTGGCCGAGTCACCAGAGCCAGAACTAGGGGTATGTTATAAGTGAAAAGTGGATTTAATTGATATTGCAATTTTTTATTGATACCCAGTAAATCAAATCTTATCAAATATGTTTACGAATCAGATTAATTACAGTCTTCCTACATAATTCTTACAGTCTTCCTACTTCCTACTCAACGATTTTGCAATTTTTTCAATTATTGCAATTTTTGTATACTTCACATGATAAAATATACAAATTATTATTTCCAAAGTGATTTTACAAAAAAAATATAACTACGACATACATTTTTACATATAGTTAAATGTAGTTTAGGGTTTTTAAAATTATATTTATCTGGGTTATCCACAAAACTCACAAACTTAGAAGAATCAAATAGTCAATTATTTAATAGTTTAAACATATTTAGTATAAATATTTCCGGTCCTAATGGAAAAATAGTTAAAGATAAATTAAAATATTTCTTAGAAAAAAATGAAGGATATAAAACTATTAAAACTTACTCTGAGATTATAATAGAAAATCAGTTAAAAAGTTTATATATTTTGTAAATATAATATAAATGTTCATAATATTGTTTAAGTAAGTAATTAATGATTATATATTTGATATGATTTTACTATGTAATTTTAATGTATTTCATTGCAATTTTAACATATTTTTAATGCAATTATATCCGGTCTTTAGTTATAAGTTTTGTAATAATAATTATGATATTTGTTATTTTCGTCATATTATTATCATAGGAGCACAATATCCTCCTCAAAGATCTACTATGTCACCATCACCACCTCCAGAAAAGAAACCAGAAAAGCGTAAACCTGGACGACCTCCTGGTAGACCCGCGGGATCAAAAAAACAGCCTGTTCAAATACAACCTGTTGATTTACAAGTTGAAAATGATGGAACATTGTATGGTGCCATTAGAAATGGTCGCATTTCTTTACAGGTAAAGTTTTAATCACTAAATATGAAAATTTATATATTTTTAAATTTAACAAAAATAGTTCTATTTTTTCATGTTTTATAGTTAATGCAAAATTGTAATTGATAATAGGTAACTGTTGATGATTGGATTGAACAGTATAAAATAAATAGAGATGAAGCACTTTTAGTATTGATGCAATTCTTTATCAATGCTGCTGGTTGTAAAGGTGTCATTACACCAAATATGTCAGAAACTATGGAGCATGCTGCTATAATTAGAAAAATGACAGAAGAATTTGATGAAGTAAATTACTAACTATTGTTGATTCTTTCATGTTATTTAATTTATTTGGATTTGTTTAGGAAAGTGGTGAATATCCTCTTATTATGAGTGGTATCCAATGGAAAAAATTTCGATCTAATTTTTGTGATTTTGTTGGTCATCTTGTTAAACAATGTCAATATTCTATTATATATGATCAGTATTTAATGGATAATATGATATCACTTTTAACTGGTTTATCAGATTCGCAAGTTAGAGCATTTCGACATACAGCTACGCTTGCTGGTAAATTATTTTTAGTAAATTAATTAAACCTTAAATATATTAAATTTATAATATTTACAGCAATGAAACTAATGACTGCTTTGGTGGATGTTGCACTAATTGTTTCTGTCAATTTGGATAATACTCAACGTCAATATGAAGCAGAACGTCAAAAAGCTAGAGATAAAAGAGCTAGTGACCGTTTAGAAACTCTAATGGCCAAACGACAAGAACTTGAAGAAAATATGGATGAAATTAAAAATATGTTGACGTATATGTTTAAATCTGTGTTTGTTCACAGATATAGGTGAGCTAAATAATAATATAAAATAAATAATTTATACATATTTTGCTCTATTCTTAAATTCTAGAGATACTTTACCTGAGATCAGAGCTATATGTATGGCAGAAATAGGTGTTTGGATGAAAAAATTCCATCAAAATTTTTTGGATGATTCTTATTTAAAGTACATTGGTTGGACTTTACATGACAAAGTTGGAGAAGTACGATTAAAATGTTTACAGGTATAGTCTAAAATATTATAAACTAATTAATTTTTTTATTTGATACAAACATTTATAGAAATAACATTGCCAAATTTTCTTAACACTGTACTTATTTAACAACTAAAAAGTTTTAGTAAAAACAATTTTATTCTTATTTAACTATGAAGTTATTTATATTTTACTGAATTTAAGTACTAACATTTTTTTATCTGAAATTTCACACAAATATTTTTCATTTGTTATAGGCATTACAACCTTTATATGCCTCTGAAGACTTAAAAAGTAAGTTGGAACTGTTCACCAGTAAATTTAAGGATAGAATTGTTGCAATGACATTAGATAAAGAATATGATGTTGCTGTTCAAGCTGTCAGATTAGTTATCAGTATTTTAAAGTAATGAAATAAAATTATTTTTAATATCTTCTATATAAATTGTAATATTGTTTTGTATGATATAATGTAGGCATCATCGTGATATCTTATCAGATAAAGATTGTGAACATGTATATGAACTTGTTTATTCTTCACATCGTGCTGTAGCTCAAGCTGCTGGAGAGTTTTTAAATGAACGTTTATTCAAACCTGAAGAAGATACAAAAACCATAAGGACAAAACGAGGAAAAAAACGTTTACCAAATACACCATTAATAAGGGATTTAGTTCAGTTTTTCATTGAATCAGAAGTAATTATTAGATTTATAAAAATTACAAACATATTTTCTAATGTTAAAATAATTTTGTTTTTAGTTGCATGAACATGGAGCCTATTTGGTTGATTCACTTATTGACTCTAATGAAATGATGAAAGATTGGGAATGTATGACTGATTTATTGTTAGAAGAGCCTGGTTTAAGTGAAGAAAAAATGGATGATCGACAAGAAACTAGTTTAATTGAATTGATGGTCTGTTGTATTAAACAGGCAGCAACTGGTGAGGCACCAGTTGGCCGAGGCCCAAATAGAAAAGTAAAACATTTTTATTTCATTTATAACAATAGTTACACAACTGCTTTAATTTATACTTAACTTAATGTTGAAATAATATTTCTTGTTTCTCTTAAATAATAAAAATTAGACTTTTCAAAGAATATTTACTTTTTCATCTAGACTAGTTATTAGTAACTATTATAATGTATAAAATAGTTTGCCCATGTAAGCTTATTGTTTTCTTTATCTTCCAAAATATCTACATTATAATTATAATAGTGTACCTATGTACTTTTTTAGTAAAATACTTACACTTTTCTTGAGTGTTACATTTTAATTTGATAAAAGTTATCATATAATTTTTTAAATGTTTCAAAATAAATATATAGTAATATATAAGCTTAGGGACTTATAGCTCTTAAATATACACAAATATGCATGCAAATATGCTTTTAAATTCATCAAAATAAGCATTATAATATGCATTGATATGCATTAAAAAAAAAAATGACCCCATAGTACATAAAATAAAACTTGTCCATTGGATTTAAAGGTATCTTTAAACTCCGAACAAAATTTTGTAATCGGTTACTCGTAGACTATTGTATTTTTGGTATTAAACAATGTTACAAAATATACACGTACGACGTTCTGCGTATCATTTGACGTTCTATGGTTGCGAGACACAAAAACAGCAACAGATAATAATTGCCTAAACTGAACACTTAACAAATAATCTATTATTCTATATCGATTATTATCTTTATCAATATCTGGTCGATATCCAGCGGGTTATATGGTCGAAACGAGAATATAGTATTATTTATACTTACATAAAAATTATAACGAGATATGAGAGATAGTTTGCTGATTGCATATTTCTGGAAGTATTAAGTCCTCTTAGTAAATTTTTTTTTCGATTGGTTGAAATATGTATTAATAGTTATAAGTATCTATAGTTTTTAATTTTAAATTAGAACAATATGTCAAAATATGCAAAATAAACATAGCAATTTTAAAATATACACTCTCCTACATAATCTATCAAGTATGTAAAAATATGCACATTCAAATTTTAGATCTGATATTATGGCACCAAGAAACAAATTTATTTTGCACTCTGCTATATTTAACAATAATTAAAAAAAGTATGCAAATGCTAGAAGTCCCTAAGTCTAGTAATATATGTTAAGATACCAAGTTTTTTATTATAATTTATATATGATTATTAATAGATGATGTCTGTAAAAGAAATAAAACAAGTGCAGGATGACAAACAAAGGCTAACTGAACATTTTATAAAAGTATTGCCTCCATTAATCGATAAATATAGAGCCGACGCAGACAAACTAATTAATCTGTTATCTATACCTCAATATTTTGATTTAGATATTTATACAACATCTAGACAAGAGTCTGTAAGTTAATTAATATAATAATTTTACTTCGTTTTTATGTGTATTATATTTTTATTAAATTATAATCTTGATACAGAATTTGGATTTATTACTTAAAAAAATTCATTTGGTTACTGATAAACATCAAAATGATGAAGTTCTTGAAACTTGTGCCAAAACATTAGAAATACTTTGTTTGAAAAACAATTCTACATTAGCTACCAGGTGTAGTGTTCAAAAAAGTACCTTGATGGATACTATCACTAACAAACATAGAGAAGCTATGGATGATTGGAATAATCTTATTGAAGGAGTAAATTAATATATTTTAACAATTAATATTTAATATTAATTTAACAATATATTTATATATATTATATTTAGAATGAGAAACCTGATGATGATGAAATCTATAATGTCGTTAATAGTATAAAGAAAATTTCCATATTTTATTCATGCCATAACTTAGGACCATGGAGTTTGTGGGATATTATATTTAAAGATTTAAAAATGGCTCATGAAGGATCAAAACCTTTGCCAGAAGAAGTAATTTTATTGTTAAATAAATAAAATATCTTATTATTAATTATATTTTCTTTATTATGAAAGGCTATCAAGTATAGTATTTCTGCATGTATGTTTGCAACAATGTGGGAACTAAACAGCATTGAAAATATTTTGGAAAATGGACGTAATGAAGATATTGAAGAGCAAGTAATGCAGGTTAAAACTAAACTCTTTGATTTTATGGATGTTCTACGTGGAATTTTGGCGCATTCAGCTAATCCTATATTTAAAGAAGAGGTAATCAGATGTGCTATATAATTTTTAATTACTTGTATAACATTTGTTTTAATACAAATTTATGTCCATAGGCTTATATATCAATATGTGATTTACTTGTTGTATTTTGTAATCAGTTGGGTGTTAAACACTATCCGGTTTTGGGAAATCTAGTTTATGATTCTGACAAAGAACTGCAGGATCTATTAAATAATTTTATTCAGAAAAATGTATTTGTATATGAAGAAGAAGGTGGTGATACACTGATTGTTCTTAAAATATTTGTTTAACAATCACCTAATTTTTGTATTTAATTGATTGACAGGTGTTCAAGATGAACATTCAAAAATTGAAGAATTACATAAAAGAAGAAACTTTTTAGCATCTTATTGTAAACTAATTGTGTATGGAATGATTCCTGTTACATGTGCAGCGGATATATTTAAGCATTACGTCAAAGTATACATTTATTTTAAATAATTAAATTAAGTAAGAAATTGTTTTATTTTTATCTATCCATTTTTAGTCTTATAATGAATATGGAGATATAATTAAAACAACAATTGGAAAAGCCCGTGAAATTAATAAAGTAATCTGTGCTAGAACTATGGTAGTAAGTTTAATTACATCATTTAGAGAACAACAAATAAACTGTGGTACATTTCGTATATCGAGATCTTCCCAAGAGTTCAGCAGTTTAAAGGTAGAATTTGTTAAACTAGAACAAAATAAAATTGACCATAATTTACTAAATTATATATTTTTAAAACTAGGAGTTAGCTAAAAGATTTGCTTTATCATTTGGATTGGATGCATTAAAAAATCGTGAGGCAATGGCAGCTTTACACCGTGAAGGTGTTTTATTCGCTGTAGGAACTGATGAAGGAATTGTCCAAGATGATCCATCAGTACCACCTCCACATGTTGCATTTTTGGAAATATTAGCTGAATTTACCAACAAACTTCTTAAACAAGATAAACGCATAGTGTATGCTCCATAATTTTGATTTATATTTTGAAAATTAATAATCTTTTTTAATATTATAGTCTCAACTATTTGGATAAACACATAACATCAGCAGTCCCCTCTAGTCGTAGTGAAGATTGGCAACCTTGGGTAATATATAGAAACAGCTTAATGCATGGTGATGCTGAACCTGGACCAATAACTTCCCGAAGGGCATACACACGTAGAAATAAAAAAGAAACTTGTAATTTATCTTTTCAATTATATTATACTAATTTAGTGATTCTGCACATAAATTATTATTTATTTTTAATTTTTCTATAGATGATGATGAAGATGATGAAGGGTCAGATCAAGATTTCGGGTAATGAAAACAATTTAAATTTGCTTAAATCAATGTTTTAAATTTTTTAAATATATATGTTTTTATTGCTTTTAATGTTATGCAAATATGATTTAATTTTAATTATTTATCATTATTATATTTTTATACATATTATGATTGGAGTCATAGTGTGCTTTAATTACTTAAATTTAAATAAATTTGCAATAGCTGTTTTTTTATTTTTATTTTTTTATTTTCAGTTACTAAATTTTAGCTGTAATCGTCAATGTCATCTTGGAGTATTTTAATGCACCATTGCGTGTTCCTATCCTGTAATAAAACAACTTTTGATGTCCAATAAATGTTCAATTTCTCTATTTAATAAGTTGATTAGTTAGTTAATTTGAATCATTAAATTGTATGTCAATTATTTTTGTATGAAAAACTTATTTTTAAATAAAATTTAATGCATGTATCAATTTAGCTAATATGATTGCTAACTAAAGTAGATTTAATTTTCTTAATTATTTTTAAGTAATTTCTATTGAATTTTATTCAAGGAAAATGTGCATGGAATTTAATTTTGGATTTTTAAAATATATAATTAGTGTTTCCATTCATTTTACTTTTTGTAAAAAACATTTTAAATATAGTTTCAAAGAACAGTTTTATTTGCAAAATTGAAGTATTAAATGGTAAGTCATCAAATAATAAAAACACTATATTTAAGTTACATAAGTATATATATATATTAAATATCAAAATAATCAATTAATAATAAAGATGATTCAATGTAATTTTATATACTCACTAAGTGTAATTGTGAAAATGGTAGGAGATGCCTTTAATCTCCTCTCAGATATTTTTAAGTAATAAAATATATTTATATTTATTGTAAACAAAAATTTATTTAAATTTTCAATTTTGTATTTAAATTGTTTAATAGACTATCTAAAGATAGTCTATTATTAAGACTGTATGGGAATAATTTAACAAGTACATTTTCTTATACTCTTATTCTGTTTTCTAGTTATTTATATAAATTAGGATATTATTTAATTTTCATTAAGTTATTTTTACTTTTTATTTATTATAAATAATAATAATAAAGGTATTACAAGTATGATATAACTTTTTTTTTAATTTAATTTAAACACTTTTCATTGTCGTTATATTTTAGTTATTGTTACTTTAGTTCACTACTGAAACAAGTAAATGTATAACTATCCTACTAAATATTTAAAGAAGTTGTTTAACTCTCAAATTGTACTTTGAAAGAATCAACTCGTTTTTTTTTGGATTAGGCTCACTTCTGATAAAGTAACTTAGATAATATTTATGAATCGATTATTATTAGGTATGTATATTCAATTTATGAAACATATTAAGCTCCACAAAAAATCGACGAACCATGATTTCTAATGAAAATGATAATTTATTCCTTTTCATAATTATTTTACGTAGAAAATAATTATTTAATAATTACAGAGCCCCAGTTGTCCAAAGTGAAGCACCAATAAAGAAGAGACGATCAAAGATAATCAAGTAAAATTATTTAAAAATCTAATATATCTAATTTACTAATGAAATTCAAATATATAATTAATTCTATAACAAGGTCATTACGATTCCAAGATAGTAGTCGCTCAGAATTGCATTCTGATGAAACAAATTATTCTGATAGTACTGGAGCAGGAGGATCTAGACCAACACGTCAATGTATAAATCGTTCAATTCCATATCGTTATATCCAAGAAGATGATGAAGATGATGAATGAAATTAAATTAATATATGTATATTAATTTGTATTTGAAATATTAATGTACTTGTATAGACATTAACAGTTATAAAAAATTAATATAATTAATAAATAATACGGTGTTGTATAAGTATATATTTTCTTATAATTAAAAATTTTAATATTCTATATTATTATCAAAATTAATAACTTATTAAACATTTAAAATATCAAATATATTAATTAATAATTGTTCAAATAAAGAATTATAATAAGAAACCTATAATAAAATGATAATTTCTCAAAATCATTTTCAGTACATTATATATTAAACATATTATACTTACAATATAGGACCAATTAATAATAAATGTCAGTTAATTTGATTCTGTGCAAGTTTAGGTATCTACCATATAAAATATTTAATCAAATTTATTTAAATATACTTTCATTCGTTTTATATCTAGATAAGTAAGTATATTACGTGTGCACTGATTAAATATAAGTTATTAGTCATAACCAATGTAAAAAAAATGTCAGCTACTTATGATTATAGTAATATTTTTTAGTACATATATTTTCATTAATATTTGATTAAAATACTCAGATTTTTTTAATTGCCTTCAAAAAAATTTGTAGTATCTACAAAATAATCTTTTATTTGAATGAATAAATTTAAATGGTTATTTAACATTAAATTTTGTTTATATTAATTGATTACTACTCCTAATTGTTTCCTTATATCTTCTAGCAAAATTGCATTTTCAATACTTAGAGACCATGGGACTATAATGCTTTCCTTGAGACCTGGAATAAATAATGCAAATACATACTAATATTTTTTTAATAATAATTTTTTACCTTTCATTAAGCAATTTCTGACTTCTTGAATCTCGTAAATCAGTTGTACACTGTTACGGTACTTTGTTGCTTCTTTCGTTGGAGGTACATCAATATCAATATCATTTCCTTTTACAGTCATTTTAATGGCTGACCAAAATGGATTATATAACTAAAATATATTTTTTTTTTTTTTAAACATACAATGATTATAATTTGTTTTGTCTTATCTTACTTTGATGCTTCCTTTAGTACCAAAAATAATAGCTTCATTCGGTAATTTTACTTTAAAGTGACTGAAAAATGTAGAAATTTTACCGTTGCTATACTTAAGAATTACACTGGCGTCTTTGTCAAATCCAGATTCTGTTAACTGTCCGCAAGTTCCATAGATCAGTGGCTTCTCAGGACCGAATAACAGTTGACTCATATAAACCGAAAATACTGCTAATTCTAAAATCGATCCGCCACTATTTCGTCTAACAAACATTTTATATTTAATTTATTGAACAAATGTTTTTTTTTTAATTAAGAATGTGAAAACAATTCTTACTGATAAATTAGTGATTCGGGCATCGGCGTGCCAAACGATGAAATTATTTGTAATGGTTCTCCGATTGTACCTTTGTCGATTTCTTCTTTTAGAATAGTAAAAGCTGGTGTGAAAAACATCCACATAGCTTCCATAAGGAACAATTTTTTTGACCTCGCAAGCTATAAGACATTGTTTTTATTAGGTAAACACTGTTTGAGTGATATAACAAGATATACAGACGTAAGCGGAAATTTGGTGAAATTAGTGAGAGGGGGCTGAGTATTATTTGCTTATTACACCTATAAGTACCCCTGTACGCAATTATTTATTTCAACAAGGCAATTAAAAAAATTTGACAATTTGACATAAGTACTTAACAATTTAACCAAAAAAACAATTAAGTGGTTTATCTTAAACAATTTTTGAGTAGGTATTCTAAACAGAAATTATTAATTAATTAAATTAAACAACCAATGCAGGTATTATTACATATTATTAATATTATATTAATTACGATCGTTCCAAGTCATGACAATAAGTTTGTAAAATCTTACGAATTTGATTTAATTTTTATAACAGAATATTTTTTTTTAATTCAGTTATTAAAAATTAATTTTACAATTATAATAGTTATTGTATTTTTAGTCACTTAATAGTTTTAGGGCTAGGGGTCTAAGACTTGTACTTTACATTTCTAGGAGGGCTTAGTCCCATCAAGCACCCCCCGATTTCCGCCTATATATACAGAGTAAAACGGTTATAGGTATGGGCAATTACTTCGACGAGGTCTTCGACCTGTTTAACATTTTGACAGAAAGATTCTTCGCATAAGACATTTTTGCCGTTTTCCAACATTAAACGACTAACGGAGTAATGGTGTTCATTGAGGGTACCAACATATACCACATCTACAACATTGGACAAAAACACATTCGTGAATTATATTTTATATCAACTCTTAGATGCGGGTTAACATTATATTTTATGATTCATTGAACTACCAAAAACTGAGGTATGGCTGTCATTTTCAATAGACGGCACCTGTGGCAGCTGATAGAAAATATGAACATGCTAATCTGATGACCGCAAGTATTATTGAAAAAAATACCAACAGATAAGTTGATATAATTATGGAAATTATATCGAATTTTAAACCGAGTAAAAACGAAAACATGGTTTTTAAAATGTGATTATGTGGTGGGAGGATGGGTGAATGGAATTACATATTCTTGAACCACCAACTGAAAAATGTCAAGCCACATTTTATTCTTATTTTATTATTTTATTTTTTGAAATCATAAGACTCTGATCTTACCCACGTCCAGGTCGTTGGCAATAGCAGCATAAGAATCGTACGCCTTGGGGATTCCGAAATGTTTCGCAAATTCTTTGGACCTGGCCATGTTCTTAGAGGCGACCGACGTGACCATATGTTCCGTCTGCGGTAACGTGTTCATAGCGACGACAAAATCGTGAGATATATTGCTGGTACCTATTATTCCCCATCTAGTCGCCATTTGAACTATAGTATTAACTGTGTTACTGTGCACGAGAAAAGTACAATACTTGGGGCAGTTAAAGGCTGCTCGTATTTTAATCAGTACGACCTTGGCAGCGACTATAGCGAACTTGTACGGATGGACGTGTTAAACTTAAAGCTCTTTGCACAATTCACCGGTATAATGTAACACTGTTTTCGCACTAAAATATCGGTGAACCTGCGCTGTCTGTCGTCGACTTGTTACACCTATAATGAGCGTATAAACATAACTGTAAATTTAAATATCGGGCATCGGATCTCGTCATTATATGTTTTTATGTATTTTTCAATACGTATACTACTAACATAATAAATAATATCAAGTCATAGATTAGAATTATATAAATATATGCCTGACCTTTTCGAACTCGTTAGACCTGTATAATGCGTAATACTCACTATAATAATTATACAACCGCACACGCTAACAGCCAGTACTTAATACACGTATACCAATAACGATTATACTTCACATTTATTATGTTTAAAATTAATTTAAATTTGAAAATATTTGAATTTTTTTTTCGAATCCTAAAACTGTGGAATCAATCAATTAATTGAATGTCATAGACCAATGACATTCAATTAATCGATCGTATCAAGATAATTTTAATAAATCTATATTGATTTTAGTAATCCCTTCTAATATTTACATAAATATGTATAAATGTTGATTGTTGATTATTAATAATAATCAACAATCAACATTTATATGCATTTAAAGTGCCAAATATGATGCAAATATGCAAAGGAAAAGTGCCTACATATGCAATTATATGCATTATGTTACACTTTATAAAATGTGTTTTTTTTTAAAAAAAAACCACACTTTTATACCAAATAACCTTCAAAATATTCAAGATTTGCAATATAAAATTTGGTGTTTAAATTCGGTGTGATATCAATCGTGGACATTTTAAACTTCCATAGAATTGCATAAACTTAGTACAAATATGCAAATGCATATAAATCCGGGCTCTAATCATTATGATACATACATATATCATTATAATTATGTCACAAAATCTTTTTTTTTATACCTAGTTTATTTATTTATTTTATTTGTTAACGGGCTGGGCCCTTTACAACAGTTTAACATAATACAATAGTATATAATTTAAATAATTAATACAAAGACACAATTAAATTTATAAGATAATAATTACGGAATAATAAGTACAATAATGATTATAAAACAAATATAAAAATATATAATAATAAATGTATCAGTTTTGATGAACGGTGCTCTCATTGGCCAGCCGCATCATGCGGTCTAACGGATTATTTCTGCTATAGTTGGTAGTGTGCGCAGGAACAACGAAAGGAGCATGGTATCTAGTAGTACGGGAAGGAACTTTGAAATTGACTAACGAGAGAAGTGAGGGAGCATCTATACGACCATCAACCAGTTTATTCAGAAACTCTATGTTAGCGTTAACTCGCCTGTCAGCCAGTGAAATGAGGCTGAGTTCCTGCATAACTAAGAAATAGTCGTGGGGAGGATGATTTATTTTTAAGACAAAAGCAGCGCAAGATAAGAACCGTCTCTGCACACGTTCTAGTTGACAGGAGTCAGATACCGTATAAGGGTCCCATAGGACCGATGAATACTCTAATAGTGAACGGACCAATGAGCAGTATAAAGTTTTTAATGAAGAAGATAGATTGAACTCCTTTGATATGCGCATTACAAACCCAAGCGTTTTTAAGGCTTTGCAGCATATCATTTCAGTATGGGAGTGAAAGTTGAGATCGTAATTAAAGATAATACCTAAGTCTTTCTTACTAAATACCGATGATACACTTGAACCATTAATGGAGTAAGTATAGTTAATAGGAAAGCGGTGTCTTCACACAGTTTTCAATTTTCTTAAAGAGCTTCAAGTCGTCGGCAAACACGAGTAGTTCATAGTTTTTGACAATTTCCTTGATGCCATTTACATACAAAGAAAACAATATTGGAGATAAATGTCCTCCTTGTGGATCTCCAGAAGAGACCTTTGAGATGGATGATTTGCATCCGAACACTTTTACACACTGGACTCCGTCTGACAAATAAGATTTGAACCAAGACAACAATGGTTCACCGAACCCAGTTTTGTATAGGGTCTCGATTAGGCGGCCATGGTCGACTTTATCGAAGGCTTTAGTAAAGTCTGTGAAAATAGCATCAACTTGGATGTGCTTTTCAACAGCCTTCAAAACAAAGTTGTTAAAAACGAATAAATTAGTAGTGGTCGAGCGACCAGGTCTAAACCCATGTTGCTCGTCAATTAGAATAGAGTTAATTGGCGATTGACTACAACAATACTATAAGTTCAAACAGTTTGGATATGTGGCTCAAAATAGAGACAGGTCTATAATTTTTGACATCAGCTTCATCACCAAATTTAAAAATAGGAGTGACAGAGCTAATCTTGAAAGAAGAGGGGAAAACTCCGTTATCGATTGAACGCTTAAAAAGTAGCCACAGTGGAAAACATAATGAAGATTTCACATTGTCTAAGAATACACCTGACAAGCCGTCGGGGCCTACGGACTTAACATTTTTTAGTGCGTCTAGACCAGCGTCAACATCATCGATGTTGAATGAGCAAGAGCTAGGTAGGTCATGGGACAAAAAAGGAAACGAATGGTCATTAGACAAAGGAGGAACATAAGACTGTATTGAAGTAATGGGAAAATAAGTTAGAGACAGACTCTGTACCCGAGCTCTGTAAATTCTCAAAATGTACTGAATGGGGAATTTCGTTGTTAGATTTATTAATTCGGACAAAGTCCCAAAACGACCTGGGGTCAGACTTTAGCATAGACTCAGTGCCAGACAAGAAGGCAGTATGGCATCTCTTATATTCTGTCTTGTAAGAGGCACGAAGTGCAGAAAATTCAGCATAATCAAGGGGACAACATGAAGCTTTAAACTTGGCATGTGCTCTTTTCTTGCTTAAAACAATATGCTTAAGATTTTTTGAAAACCATTTCGGGAATTTCGAGGGTATATGACACTTTTGGAACAAAGTTTAAAATACAAAAGTGCAAGGTGTCATAAATTACCTTAGCAGCTTCATCAACGTCGAGAGATAATATGATCTCCAACCAATTAAATGAATTTAGGAATTCGCATATTTTTGAATAGGGAGCACGGCGGAAGTCATAATAATTATGGGAGCGATCAAGTAAAGGGGAGAGTTTATCCAACTTTATCAAAATATCGAGAACCGGGTGGTAGGGATCACAAGGTACTGCTGAAGTTACGGCTTTAGATATATAGATACTGTTGTCATTGGAGAACACAAGGTCCAAGACAACACCAAAAGAGTTTTGAATATCATTTAGTTGGAAAAAAATAAAGAACGCAAAAGCATCGGGGATGCATTGAACTCTGGGATTAGAAACCGTATTGTAAAGTAAACCAAAATCATCGTTGGACCACATAATATCTGGCAAATTGAAGTCCCCACAAAAAATGAATACACATTCTGGATGCAGGAGAAGAACAGATTGTACAGCGGAAATAAAAGACTCGTAAGCAGAAAGCGGGCAATTGGGAGGAAAGTACACTGAGCACACTACATAGTTGATGTTATTAGGTAAAACTAAGTTTAACAAATAGATGTTCAACATTAGTAGCTAGAATGTAAATTAAATTAGATACTATGTCACTACGAATGGCAATGAGAGCGCCACCACCTCTAGAAAAATTACTTGTTAAACTATTTCTATCACATCTATAAATGATATAAATGGATAGACCAAGTTCACTGTCATAGAAGCTGTCACATAGCCATGTTTCAGTGATACAGATAAAAACATAGTCAAAAACAGCGACATTACATTTTAAAATACTTAGTTTGGTTCTTAAACCACGGCAATTTTGATAAAAACCTAAGAGAGTATGGTTACAAGTACATAAATCACTACATAAACAATAATCCTTACTATTATAATTATAAGCGTGTATATCAACAAGAAGATCACAGGTAGGTGTACATGAAGAAATTAGTTTAGATTCTGAGTGATGCGATAAATATGTTAATTTCAAGTTTGACAATGATGATTTAAATATTCTACTAATAGTGTTCAAATTTTCGGGTAGGTACTTGTTAAAAATAATCAGAAATAATGTGCATTTTTTTTTTCAATGGCCGTCACATTTCTTATGATGAAACATCATGAATGAAGTTTTATAGCATGCAAATTGTGTACAAGATTAACTCTGAACTATTTTGCCAAGTTCTATAATAAATAAATTATTAGGAAAATTTGCGAACCAATAAAAAGTCTTATCGATAATTGATTATTTTATAAATATATTTGGATGGGTACACACTTCTTGGATTCTATTGCCATTGCTTAAGCCACGCGATAAAAAAAAATTGAGCAAAATATATTATTTAATAATACGCAGTGCAAATAAATAATATGCAGTTATTAATCATTATTATAATTCAAAAATAAATTAAATCAAAAAATAATTTTACTATCGAGAATATTAGAAGATTACGCCGTCGATTGATCGCAACACCCATACTGATAGATACATTAGAAAGTAATATTTTCAATTGGATCAATCGGAACCACGAAATTATAATAACCTGCTGTCATTTCAGCAGTTTTTAGAGAAAAAAAATACAATATAAGCCAATATGGAATTGAAGCCGAATATACCTACTCGCATTGAAACCCCTTAAAAATAATATTTTAAAAAAAATCGCATCCATTTCTCTAATGATAGTCAATTTTTTTGAGCAAACAAACGAAAGCTAAAAGCTTAACCTATTATTCAGACATATGGCTACATTAATATGATATTAGAAGTATACTGTATATTTTATTGGTTTAGGTTAATGGTATTTGTCCGTGGGTGAATATGAAGTTTGTTAAAGTGGAGGTAAATAGGTATTTTGTTACTACTATTATATTATACATTATAATTTTATTTATTATCATGAAACACACTACCTAGAAAGCCTCGATATATAAGACTATACCTCTTATATCAAAAATATTAAATAAATCTGTGGTAAAAAAAGTTCAATTAAGGGAGAGGGGTGATCGCTATTTTCCATAATCCGTTCCTGATTTGTCGTGCATGTCCAGTTATATCGTAGGTATAAATGACAATTGACAATATTGATCTTTTCATATAAATACTATACCTGTAATCAGTGTCGGCCTGGGATATGAAAGACCTAGGCCTCAATTTTTTTATCAAAATTTACCTAAGATTGGGTTGAAATTGTGAAAGTCATGTTTAGTGGTATCATACTTACATACAAAATCTATACATGAATGCTTTTGTAGCATATTAATTAATGTATTATTATTAAACATATACTTCTTGACTTCATAAACAACATATAGAAAATATATAATTAACTCTTTCACTGCTATGAACACATATAAGCGTCCAACGTAAGAGACTCTGTGATGCTAAGACACACAAATGGGTCCAATCATTTCATAACAGTATTAATAATGTGACAACTTGCAAATGTAGTAAATGATTAGATAAATCCAAAGAGATACTAAAAAAAAATCTGAACATTATCAAAGAAGTTATAGGTAAATATTTGATTTTCCAGGGTTCCCCAATTATGATTAATTATTGATAAACGGAAATATTTCAAATCAAATTTTATCTTGAATGTAATCTGCTTCTTAATTCTGTTGAATGTGTACGAATATCAATGAAGTGATATAAAAAACAAGTACAAGTCTGAATATTTGATTGATTTTGTACTTGAATTTAATTGAATGCATTTTCAGAACCACTGTCTAAGAGTTTTACAATTATCTATAACGTTAATTTTTGGCCCAAATTTTTTTTTTATAATTTTTATAGATACATTGAGTATATGCCTATCTCTATAAAGTAGAAATACCATTTAAATATTTTATGAAATATAGTCAGCACAGAGCAGATGCTTTAGATTTTTTAAGCCAACAGTGAAAGGGTTAAAATTAGGCTATTATTGTATTATTATAATAAATATGTACATGATATTTCTCCTAACTAAAAAAAATAGATGTATTTTCTACAAGTTTGAATTATATACTCTTTATTAAATATTAAATTTTAATTATTCTATTTTTACGAAATTACCTTAAATTCACTAATATACTATTTAAATAATTATATTATAATAATTAACAGACCTGGTTAATTATTATACAAATAAATTATTTAACACATTATATCTTTCTGCCAACATAAATACTTTTTATTCATAATGTAAGTAATTTCTTTCATGTATCGAATGAATTAGCAATGCAATTAATGATATATTTTATATCAATCTCTATATCTTTCTCAAAATTCATTAGCATTAATGGAGTTATATGTTCTTGATTTATAGTAGATCTTAATTTTGATTTAATTAATTTAAGTTTAGAAAAAACTCTTTCGTATATTGGCTGAGTTGATGAAAGAAGTACCAAGTACTTATTTATACAAAACAAATAAATTAATAAAAGTATTGGAATTAAATGCAAATTCACTAATTGTAATATAAGCACATGCAATGCATCTATTACATTTGTTACAATCAATTGGTAAAACGTTTTCTTCGTCAACTTCATTATCACTGTCCATATTTTCAAATAATAAATCCGGTTAAATGTTTAAATGTTTTTTGTATGTTGATCAACAATTTTAGTTGTATATTCAGATAATTTAGGATGATAGCTTTCAAACTTACAAGCAAATTGTTTTTTTCTCTACTTCAGTTAAATCACAAATGTTTGTTAAAACATCGGTAGGGAAAATTATTAAATGATTAATTCAATGGTTCTTAACCTGTGGTCCGCGGCCCTGTAGGGGTCCGTGATATTCAATTTGGGGGTCCGCGACGGCCCTAACACATAAAATATGTCAATACGTGACATGAGTGCATTATTATAATATGGTTGGATTATTATTATTATTATTAGTTTCTTTATCATATACTTTTTATTGTTCAATAGATTGATCTTATCTTCATAAAATCTTCAAAAACTTGTATCTTAACTATAACACCAACCATCTTATTAAGTAAATAAAAATTACGCAATTTCTAAAAATGTTCCATCAGAGGTCCGTCATCTACAAAAGCTTTAGGGTATAGCAAATGGCAATCTTTTAAAAATCCTTCTTTTGGTACAAATCTTAATTTTATACTATTTAGTATAGTTTCTTAAATAGAAAACGCATCTGATTTTAATTTTTCATATGGACTTTGATTTCTAGATTCATCTTGGTATTTTTCCTCAGACAATTTTTTTATACTCGTTTATCAGGAAAATCTTCTTCTATTTCTATGAAGGGATCGTTAAGAAAATAAGAGTTAACATTATTTGAAAATTGTTGATATTTTTTAAATAAAAATAAAATATGAACCTCGTTTCTTAATTTTTTAATCAAGTTTTTAATTGTATTAATCATGTTCCAGACTTGCAAATAATTTTTTTTGCTCATTAATTGTATATTTTTGTGTGAGGCACAATTACCAAAATTTACGCTGCCCTGGCCAGACCGACACTGCCTGTAATACATTTTTAACATGTTTGACTCTTACAGTCTCACAAACAAGGCTATGAAACATATTTTATTGAACTATTTTGATAATTGCTACAAGCTACTAAGAGATGTTAAGTCACCCATAATTAAAACGTCTTAATTAAACGATCGTAGTAAAATAGTTTACATTCCCAAATATACTGAACAGGTTCTATATTAGGTTATCATAATAATGAACACCATTCCAAACAAGTGGACTAGCATGTGGCAACTAAAGAAAAAAAAACAAATAGTAAAATTCTATTACATTTTTTATTATATTTATAAATATTATATATTATTTTAGTGGCGTACATTCGATCTTGCTAGGGGGGGAATACAAAAATAATCGTCATCTTTTTTTTTTTTTCGTTGCACAGATAAATAAGTTAAATAACTGCTATAAACAGATATTATTTTGTACAACTTTTTTAGCAATTAACAGTTTACTTTTACATTACAGTAAATTAATAGCTATTGGAATATAAAAACAGCATAGTTAACAATACTTTTTAAACACCTATAATATAATTAGTTAATTATCATAATATTTGTATAGTTATATATTTCAAGTTCAAAGCGTAATAATAAAACTATGAATATATTACACGTCATCAATAATAAAACAATTTTCTTCTTTTTTTTTGGCCCTGGGGGGTTTGAACCCGGGTCCCCCTCCTCCCGTATGTACGCCACTGTATTATTTATCATATTAGGTACAAATATTGAAGTATAGTTTCTGAATGGTCCGATTCAAAACTAAAAATACATTGTTCATTTGTTAATTTTAACTGACGTGTCTATTCAAAAGACTTTTAATTGATTTTGAAGAAATATTCAATACACATAATATGTGTACTTGTTTTATACGCATAGACTTATCGCGTATCGCGTGTTAGGATATTTGAATATATTTGTAATTCGTTGACATTTTCGATAACGAGTAGTCGAGTATGATAATAAATACTAACAATAGTAAAGCCATTGATAAAATATAATATAACCACTGTTAATACTCAGGCGTATTTTGTATTAGGACATAGCTGTAAACATTTATTTAACATTCATTATTTATTATTATCATTTAGTGTTTGCCATAGTTCATAGGGCGAATTTATTATATAATGTGCACCATTGAACTACGCAAGCTTTAATTATTTTTAATCGTTTTTATTTGGGTCTGAAATCCGTCACTTAATAAACAATAGTTAGGTATGTATACGCGTGATGTTATTTCAATTATCTCGTGTGGTGGCATACATCGCTTATGAATTTATAATCATATGCACATAGGCAAAAAAATGAAAATAGTACTTTTATGTTGAAGGTTAAATTAGTTAAGTATTAAGCGTCAACATCTGCTTCTAACAGTTTGTTTTATATTTATTATTTTAATAGATATTTTTTAATTTTTTTTTAACTTTAAGGCAGAAAATTAAATCAAAGTTTGTAATACGTAACTAGTGATATGGGTTAGGACTCGGACCCATTTACATTTATATTATTTTATGAATTATTCTTCTATTTTCAATGAGCGGGTTTTTTTTTTTTTTTTAGTTATATTATGGGCCGATCAAAACTTTTTACCCTCTCCTCTTAAAAACTGAAAAGACACCACTGAATAATATACGAGATCCTGAAAAAATTTGACAACTTCTATCTGAATATGATGTGCTTGAAAATGAATCAAATATTGATAATATCTATGCAGATGCAAATTAAAAATAAGGAACATTTGAAACTGCACAAAAATTTTAAATTTTTACTCTTATTATTTTTTTTTTATTTGTAATATTGCATACTTAATGAAAAAAATCACTTGAAAATTGAAACATATAAGAAGTTTCTTTTTAAAATATATTATTTATAACAAAACATTTTAACTGTGGGATTTTAAAAATATAAAATTTAAAAAGCATTTTTAAAAATATTATTTAATATTTTAATATATAATATTAAGAATAAAAATTAATTTAATACATGTTCAATTTTTTTTTTTATTATTGATTCTAATAGACCCCACCTCACCGGTTCCATAAAAAATTTGGTCATCTCACCATTTAAAGAGATATTATAAAAAAGCTGATAAGATCCTAACACTATGAAGTATGATTCATTTGTAATTTAGTTTCTCCAATAAAATAGTAAATGCAGACCTTGAAACTCCTGAAGATCAGTAAAATTATTGTGTGTATTATAAATTGTGTATTATTTTGAATTTGAAGTCTGAATAGTATATTATACTAATATAATCTGGTTTTTCTTTTACACATATAAAATATATGAATGTCCATTAGAAATAAAAATTGATGGTTTGTAGGAGGGTGGTGTAGCCCCCTCTTGCTCATTTTGGACATACGTTAATAAAGAGGTAGTTACTATTTTATTTTCTCTCCACCCTAAAAAAATGATAGTTTGGTTTTATTAGTGTTAAAGACGTGGTATTAATTAATATTTTAGTACATCTTTATTTTATATATACCTATGCAGGTTTGCATATACGAAATGAAACCTTAACATAATATAAATCGTTCACACTAGTACAACATAAGTTACTCAATGTTGATAAGTGTGGTTAGTTGTTTTTGTTTTCTTGAAACAAACTGACAACATTTATATGCATACAATGCACATTAAGCCGAGTCCACACTAGAGCAATAAATAGTTCCTGAATGTTGACGAGTATTTCTAATTGTTTTTGTTTCCTTGAAACAAACTGGAACATTTATAAACACACTGTCCACATAATAGCAACAAATTACCAATAAGAACTTAATAAAAACAATTCAAAACCTGTTGCTCTGTGTTTTTTGCGATAATGTGTCCATCATATACAGGAGCAGACTGGCCTGGCAGGACACCGGGACAAATCCCGGTGGCCCGTTACAATAATAGATTAAATGGCCTGATAATATTTTAGAAATTAAAAATATAATATTAATAACTTAAAACAAATTGAACGAAAAAATAAATAGATAGTTTCAAAAGATGCATTTTTTATTTAAGTACCTAAATATGAGAGTTTTATGAAATACAATTATAAATATTAATTAATATACGTATTTTTAATTTATTCTCAAAGTAAAAATTCTAATCTTCTTGACAGCAAACTCGTCAATAACAGCTGATGGGTTATCCATAAATTTTCCACTCATTTTTCTTCCTAAATATTATTGGTTTTTTTCTAGAAAAAATCTGGGAAGGCCCGGGCCTACCAGGCCTACTTACTGGCTACACCCCTGGTTCGTTCGCGAACGATACATTAAAACACCGTAGTATTATAAAAATACAACTGATAATAACTGATACGAAAATACGCATACAATCTTTTGGTTCATATGAATGACCCGTTCGTTCGCAAACGACACATCACTAGTCAATACGCACTATGCATTTATGCGCAACATAAAGTAATATAAAATACGATTAATACAATCATACGTTATTAATTATTATTATTATTACTATTCAGTATTTAAACAATAAGTTGATAAAGAACGTTCTATACTAATTTATAAAATTATTTCACTATTAGATATGACACCCCACCCCAAAATAAGTTTCTAAATACGCCATTGTACCTAATCATTAATCGCTTGCGAAACTAATATTTATATTTCTCGCGTCTTTATCGGGACGGTAGAGCAGACGCCGACAGATGGACGACGGTTAATAAAAGCCATTTCCGTCCGGTTTGTTTACTTAACAAACGCCGAGCTACCAATAATATTACCGTTAGTTATTACGACCACGTCCGGTATAATAAATATTATTATGTGCGTTGACCGTTAACGTATTGCAAGTTGAGATGGTAAACTATGATTTTTTTTTTTAATAGCAATAGCAATTGTTACTTTTACTGGAAACTAGCAATGATTGTTATTTTATGAATTTTATGCCAATATAATAGTATGATAATATTAAATAAATAATAGCAGTGATTGCTATTACAATATCATATATACTATCAGTAAGGTTGTCGTAGTGGCGCCCAGACAAGTTACCAAGAGGTGCAATTGCATGTGCTCTCGTCGGTGGTGGGTGTATGAGTGGATTGGTGGGTATATAATTGGACAACTTGGATACCAAACATTATGGAGTTTGGTAAGCAAATAACATTATTATTATAACACAAACATTATACTTATATGGCACTGGGTATAGACATCTTAATTTTAATTAATTATAATAAATCTCAATTTCTTAAATGTATAGTTGTTTTAAGAGTTAATTACAGTTACAGACAACAATTTAAACGAATGTTTTTTTTTAAAAAAAAATTGGTGAGTGGGTGGGTAACTTTTTTTAGTTGCATGCTCTCAAAATACTTCTGTGCGCCACTGGGTTGCCGGATTTTGAAATCACTAAACCGTGACATCATATTGAATGACTTTTTTTTTATGTAATGTTCATATGGAAACAAAAATAAATATATTATTTTGTAATTTAAATATTTATTGGCTAATACAAAAATGCATTATTATTATATATACCCATGCCGATTAGATAACCATAATATTATGATATAATTTACAATATTATTCAATGTCTTATTATTAAATAATATGATATTATATGTTATTTTCTCTCAGCTTCTATTAACAGGGACAAACTGAATGATCGGCCGGGACACCGACAACCCGGGCATTCCTTTGAAACCGGGACTGTCCCGATCAAACCGGAACGAATGGCAAGCCTAACTATCAGCCCCGTATATGATAAACAAAATGTATAAATCACTGGTATCTTAGTATATGAGTAGCGATTTGGGACTACTACTAAGGAATTGCTGTGAAAAAATCACCACTACTGCTATTTCACGCCATCACTAATTGCAGTACATCGTCATTCGTTAGTTATATCACAATATCACATGACTAAGCATTACATTATGGTTAGGCCATGGAGTTGATCTAATTTTTTTTGTCGTAAAAATGTGTTCATGTCAGGGCCGTCCTGATGATTTGTGAGGCTCGGGACAGAATAAAATTGCAAAGCCTTAAATATCGAAAATATCACTATCGCTTGTTAGTTGCATATTGGAACTCAAATGTGCTCAAATAATGTTAACAAATATAGTACCTTGCACATATAACAATATGATTGGGTAAATAAATTAATTATATAATAAACAATTTTATATGAAAAAAAAATGATTTTTACATTTTTTTTTGCTCATCAATTTCAATTTTTTTTATTGTATCTATGATCTATGAAAACAAGGCTTGTCCAACTATGGTAAGAGCGCGGGGCACGAGGTGAGGGCCCCGCTCACCCTGCGATAGGAACGTCCCTGGTTCACGTACAAAATATTTTCCTGCCCGAGTCGGAAATTTGTTTTCAATAGGATGAATTTTGTTTTTTCAATTTTCAATTTAATTTTAAAATTAATTGAAACACAAAAGGTAAATACAATTTAACTACTTGACAATTTGTTAAAAAAAAAAAATGGTTAATAAGATAACAGAAATTAATTATGTAACATCGTTTAAAATTAAAAACAATTACTTTTTGTTGTGCTAAAAAAAATATTTTAAGGGGGATTTTGACATCCAAATCCCCCCTGTACCATGGTAACTGCATGGCCACTACACATAACGGTGGGTGTTATTTAGTTGATATACTCTTGCAACCAATACGAAAAAATAATAACATTATTGGAAAACGGATGAAACGATTAAAATTCGATAAGTTTTGTGGTTTAGTGTTCCGTAAAATATTCGCAGGGACGACGCGAGGGGGTGGACAATAGGGGCAGTTGCCCAGGGCCCCGCGCCTTAAATTATAATTAAGACCTCGCGGTTCTGATTTAACTGAACTTAATATATTTTTTTAATATAAATTATAAGACCCAATATTTATTTTGCCCTGGGCCTCGCAAACTCTAGCACCGTCACTGATTATTCGTAATATTGTTTGTAACGTATCATCACGACAATGATTTGCATACAGAGTGCGCACGTATATCGCTATTCACCAGACGTATTTATTATCTATACAACTACCACAACGTGCCTACGTTCATGGCGTTCGTTTTTGTGTTATCGCTGCCGCCTTCCCCTTCCACACAATATCCACGCACCCGTGTCGTTGTCGTTTTTCGCCGTACCCAATGAATAATAAAAAAAGACGGCGATATTAAAAATAGAGCTAAAAAGTAGTTTGATTTTGTTTATCGGGTTGTAATCATCCCTCGTCACGGCTATTATATCATTATCTTACCGCTCATTTTTTTCTATTGGTTTTCTTCGACTACAGTCATCGCCGCCTTTGTCAATTGTCATCACCATCGCAGCTGCCGCTACCACTGCCACCACCGTTTTCTACGATCACTACAATGTTATTGTAATTTGTTCGCGCTCGAAACCCGTTGATTTCACTATCGCATACGCACGCTGTGATATCCATTTAGTTTATCAAAATCATCGTCCGCTATTATAACAGTAATAAAACTAATAATATTAGGTTCATAGACGTTTTGTTGTTTTAATAACGAGGACGTAGACCATTGTCAACGCCGACGGTTTTTTCCTCATTGTTCGCGAGCAAAGATTCTCGTTATCTTGCACATCGTAACATATGATAACGGACAAACGATTGTCGTTCGTTTCGTCATACGCGAGCGAGATGTCCGAAAATTGTAACACGACGGTTAAGCCCTCAAGGAATTCGGTCTAAAACTAATATACTACAACAACGATACTCATTTTTCACTGTCACCGGTACGCTGTAAATGTTCACTGGTACGTAAGTCCATTTTACATATTTTATCATTATTGATTGGTATTTATTATTGTGCTACTTATTGGAACACATCAATATACATGTACGTAATAACTATAATTGTTACTCTACCAGAAGTTTTTGTAATAAGATTTAGTTATCACCTGATAATGTTGGCTTGTTGTAAAAAAAAATCCCTGACCAACCTATTCAATCATATATGAATCAATTTTAAACCTACAGATGATTCCATTTGTTTTCAGATAATCTTTCGATATGGGGAAGCTGCTTTCCAAAATTTTTGGTAACAAAGAGATGAGAATACTTATGCTTGGTTTGGATGCAGCTGGAAAAACTAGTATCCTTTATTATAAAATATTTAATGTGTAAATATGATTTTATTTGTTTCATTAATTGTAGCCCATATTTTTGTGACAAATTAAAGCCATCCATATTAATTTCTTAAAAATTATCCAGGCTAATATTCTTTAATTGATAAATTTAAAACATGATAAATTAAATGTTTTCTTTTTTTAATTATAACTAAATAATGGTTGTAGAAAGAAATCAAATGTATCAAAAAATTTTCCAATTTTTTTTATATATATTATAGTAGATGCATAAGTATTATCAAATTTATTTCAACAATTTTAAAAAGTCATGTAGAATGGATTGCAAACAACCCTCCACCAATACATTTCTTATTTAATATCTAATTGATCTAAGTTATTTATTTTAAACATATATAAACCACTATTTCAATTAGAAAAACTTCTCCTATTAAAATTTTTTAGCTATTTTATATAAACTCAAATTAGGTCAATCCGTAACAACTATACCAACAGTTGGCTTTAATGTGGAGACAGTAATATATAAGAATGTCAAAATTAATGTTTGGGTTAGTATTTTTGCTGTTAGTTAATTAAATATAAAAATTAATTAATGATGTATCAAATTTGATCAGGATGTTGGGGGTCAAGACAAAATACGACCATTATGGCGACACTACTATACAGGAACACAAGGGTTAATCTTTGTAGTAGATTGTGCTGACCGTGATCGTATTGATGAAGCTAAACAAGAACTACATCGGATAATAAATGATAGAGAAATGAGAGATGCTATTATTCTAATTTTTGCCAATAAACAAGATTTGACCAATGGTTTGTATAAAAGCAATTATATTATTTTTTGATTAAGTAAACATCTGCTTCATGAAATATTACATTTATATAGCGATGAAACCACATGAAATACAAGAAAAACTAGGACTGACAAGAATACGGGATAGAAATTGGTATGTTCAACCATCATGTGCTACCACTGGAGATGGATTACACGAAGGCCTTGCTTGGCTTACATCAAATTTTAAACAATGATACTAAAGTATAATAAATAATACTTTGTACATTATTATTCAATTTAAAAAAAGCTTAGGACTAAAAGGAATTCCATTTGTACAAAAGTGTACTTGATTCATTAAATGTAAAAATGAACATCGATATATAAATTAAGGTGTTCATTTTGAAGAAAAAAAAACTTTCTCTTTATGAGAACTGGCCTGTTAAAATACTGAATTATTCACAATTTTTCTTAACATTATAAAGTGTACTGAACAAAATTGTTTTTAATATCAGTAATTTGCTAAAACTGCCTAATTATTCTTTTGATTTGTATATTTAAAAAATAAATTCAATCAGTATACATATTAGTTTTAACAGTAAAATGTAAAAATTAAGCAATATTATGTCTAGCTTAATAATGACTTTTAATGATTGTTTTTGAGTTTAGATTATTTTATATAGGCTTATAAGTAAGTATATACATGTTGTACTAAGTATCATAATATTTTATACATAAATACATTCAGTTCATAATCATTAGGATTTTATTTAAAAAAAAAAATTGAACAATATTATTGTTCCATGTGTGGAAGAATCCTATTTTTATTTTTATTGTTATTTATTATTTTGTACAAAATATTGAATAAATATAAAAAAATAATTATATTATTTATATTTATTGTTAATAATGCTATGGTCTAATTTTACAGTTATAAAATAACTGGTTGATAATTATTTAGGAGAATTTAAACTTAACATATTGCATAAATTTATAAAAGTAATAAATATTAATAAATGTAAGAAAATACATAAAAAAAAAAAAAAAAGTAAGAAGATAATTAGTTTATTACGTTATCACAATAAACTAATCATCTCATATTTTCACCTGTCTGTTAGGGATACAATTTACTTTAATGTACATGTGATTTAAATAATTCAATATTTATTCAGACGATTCTTAGTCCATACTATAATGAACAATGAAATAATAATTGGTAGACAAAAAGTTGCAAAAACATCAAGTAAATTTGCTTGATAAAAATTTAAGTGGATCTTTGGACTTTTTAAAAGTTCATGGGATTCATTTTTGTTTCTAATTATATACTCAGTCCAATAAATTGCTGTTTCAAGGGGTGACTGTGGTCGATCATTGTACAATTGTTGAAGGTTTTTAGCATTATTTCTGAAGTAAAATATAATTTCATTAAATATTTAAACCAATCTGGTTCATTTGTTATATAATTATTTAGACTATTTTATTACCTGTAATTTTCAGTCAGTACTTCATTAATAGCATTAAAAAGTTGGTTGCCATTCAAATGTTCATATTCAACAGTGACAGCCATTTGTTTTTCAACCAAAATATTAGCAACAAGTGGTTGATCACCAAATATAGGTATGGCTACCATAGGCTTACCACAATGTATTGTTTCAATTGCACTCATCATGCCAGCATGTGACACAAAAAGAAGTACTTTTGGATGAGCTGTAAAATTTAGAAATTTATTTCTATTTATTTGTTACTAAGTTAATAAAAATTCCAAATCACCTAAAAGATCTCTTTGCGGAAACCATTTGACCATTTTCACATTTGATAGCCGTGTTCCATTGTAATTCTCAGGATCAAACTTCATAATAATTCTCTGTTTAAGTTTAGAAAATGTTTTCATTATGTTATTTAGTTTATCTCCAGCCAATAAAGATTCAGATACTACTGAACCCAAACTGAATAAAATAACACCATGGTGAGCATTATTTATGAAATTTTTAAACTCCTGAAAATTAATAATTTAAAAGACAATAATATAATTAAAATTAATAGGGTAGTAGAACATTATTGAATTACTTGTGAAAGAGGTTTTTCGTCTTCTACGTGTATACCAGCGACATCAACAATTCCAGGCACTCTAGGTGTTGATAAAAATACACCGGGATAATTATTTATCAAAATCATACTAAGATTGGCCATCGATTGAACTATCGATTTTTTTCGTAATCCATAATGAAGTTCGTTCATTTCTTGGATTTTCGAGTTAAGAATCCAACTGAGAGGATAATTTAGGAACATCCAAAATAAATAATTTGTGATACGAATGCCAAATGATTCGAGAGTTGTAGAATTATTTAAAACATCAGATACGTATGGCATTACTATTGATTCCTGACCCATAACTTCGTTCGTCCATGGCAATACTATCATAGGAGCAATACCAATAATAGGTGCATTCACTACCGTTGCAATTGGTGTAAACAGGGCTGTAGTTGTAAAATATTCAACAATGACTAAATCAAATTTTCGACCAGATTGTAAAAGATTTGATACTTGCGGATGATCGAGTATAGCTGCGTACTTATACACATTGTCAGATAAACGTGTTGTTATTTTCATTATGGTGTTTTCGTGGGAATAAAATTTTGAATGTGGCTTAAATCCGGCAATATTGATGTGCGATAAATTTGATCGTTCGTCATCGGGGAAATTTGTAATTGCTAATATTTTATGTCCTCGATCTAGTAGGCCGTGGATCAGCGGTCTGACTACCCTGTAGTGACTCTGAGCCGTTGTAGGGAATATAACAAGTATTTCCGACGATTGAATCCGAGAAATCGTTAAAACAGAAAAAATTACACTATAGAATAACCACTTGACTCTAGTTTTTTCCATTTTATTTTACTCAGTTGATTTATAGTTGTCTAACTTATACAATTATAATAAAACGTTCTGTAAAATATATCGTATAATGTTTATAGCGTTTTTTTATAGAAATTAATACCTCAACAGAGCGCATTTGTTGTTCGCACGTTGCCGACTAACGTGAATCTATATATTTTAAACTCCTATGTCAGGTAATATTTATTTGAAAAAAGTGGGAAGCTCATAAGTCCTTGTGTAGTTGGTAATTATAATGATTAAAACTAGTAAAATGTTTAATGAACTATTAATGTTACCTCATAGTTATTTGATACACTTGTTTATGTTGTCTTCGTCTTACACACTTGAAAAAAATACTTTTGTAATGAGTACTATTCATAGTATTTAGAGGTCGCCCAATACATAGTATTGTTTGAACTAATAATCAGTTTTCATAATCATTAATATTATGTAATAGGTGCACAGAATAATTTCTACATATAAACGCTATTAATAATGGTGTTTCTGCAAAGGTCCGTATCACTAGCACGGCCACTTTTGAATAATAGTACCAAACCTTGACAGTATTTTGTACTTTTTTTGTACAATTTTGTACAACCAAAATAGAATTTTGTACATCCACCCATAGGTATCCGAGAAAACCCGATTTTTCTATGGCCGCGCTGGGGATACGGCCATTAACCAATTATTATGAAATTTAAATTTAACTTATACAGTATTATGTACTTTATTTTGTGCAAATTTGTACAATCAAAATAAAATTTTGTACACCCACCCAAACCCGATAAAATCCGATTTTTCTATGGTCATCACATTTTATACTGTGCCTACTACCAATAATAGTCACAATGCTGTATAATAATACCGTATTACTAAAATATGACAATAAGTTAATAATAACTTAATAATAGGTTTCAATAACCTGAGTATTACTTTTCACCGCATTATACTTCTCTATAGTATATGGTGGACTAAATATAAATGAAAATAATTAAAAATAAAAAAAACCTCAATTTCTGATTTGTGCATGTAGCTTGAATTATTTGACTAAATGTTTATTTTATACACGGTTATTTCCAAAAATAGAAAATGAATATTGTGTTTGACAGTCGAATAGTGTGATCCACACTGAGGATACTGTTTGACATATACTTACTTTGCTACCTACTTGAATTTTTTTTTATCCTTACTTTGATACGAAATAAATATATTAAATTTAAATACATTTATATACTCCTATATCCATGGGCGTAACTTGGAAATTTATTGAGGGGGTCAAATATATAATTACATATCTAACGAAAAGGGTTTCCGAGGCATAGGCATAACATGGGCAATTTTTATAAAAGCAAACTTTATTTTATTTCGATATACCATGCACTTAAAGATACTTAGAGACTACATATACTTAATATATACTTAATCTTTTATACTTATATACTTAATCAGAGGAAACTGGAAAGCATGAGATAATAATATTATCTAAGCTAAATCTTTATTGTAGCATGTAAAACACAATTAAATGGTATGATGGAAAAAGCTTGATAAGATGGTTTATTCAATAGAAGCATTTTGCATTTCTATACTTTAACATATTACTTTATTTTTATATAATATGGAATTTATTTCCGGTGCATAAGTCATAACGTTATAAATGTAATATATAATATACCTAATGTTATAATTTGTAGTTATATATGTATCATAATAAATGCTATATTATAAAAAAATAGACAATTAATTATGTTTATGTAATTATTATACTAATAATATTATCAAAACTTAACTCTAATATTATAACCTTACAAAATGTCTATGATAATTGAAGTCTTCTACCTCTTTCTGTTGAATCTGCATCCAGGGCTGACCCAATCAAAAATAATGCACTAAGCGAAATCAAATTTTGCCGCCACTAAAAAAAATTAATTTAGCTCTTATTTTAACTTAGCCCCTCCACCTATTTTTTAAGTGACATATCTATATAAAATTTTTTTTAAATTATGCGTAGAATGACTTAAAAATGATTTCTATAATTATTACTCAAAACCCATCACAATCGCGACTGTCGGAAGTCGCGGAAGTGATTGTGTAGTTATTTATATTTTTAGAATAATTGAAAAAGCCTAGCGTAGGCCGTAACATAAAGTAATATAATAACTTTAGATAATATAATTTTATTATATAGGTAAGTGGTTTTCACGAATGGATTAATTTAAATATTTTTCTCATAACACAGCGATAGAACTAAAAAAATGTACGAGTCAATTTTGAAAATACCACCCCTACTAAAGTGCCGCTGTATACAGGTGTCTGCTCGCCTATACCTTGAGCCGGCCCTGTCTGCATCAAACTGATCAATAATAGTATTAAAATTAATTTTAAAAGTTTTTTCTATATGTAAAATAGCCATGTTACTAAGTGTTTCTTGGCTAATGGTGTTTCTTGTAAATGTTTTGAAGTGACGAAGTAGTGAAAACGAACGTTCACTCAATGCAGAACTCATTAGAATAGAAAGAAAAAATTTATAAATAAAATAAATATTGTAAAATGAGCCTATCAAGTCTTTTTCGAAATACAAATTTAAATGGGCTTTAAAATTTTCAGCAATATTATTTGATGGACATATTTTCCCGAAGAGCATTAATTCTACCTTTAATGCATTGAAGTTAATATTATAGGTGTTACAAACTTTTAAAATATCTTCATCCCTGTTTTTTCTAGTGCTTAAATAATTTTGAAGAGCGTTAAGTATTTTTAAATTGTTTTCTGCAAATTTTGTTTTTATATCATTTACAATTATATCTAACATAGGAAAATAAATATTAATTTTGAAATACGATGCAACGTTTCTCGAAATTAAAGTTTCACCACCGCCTAATCTTGAAGGTATTGTTTTTATTCTTGGAATTATGGGTAGTGAAATACATTATTTGGAAGCTAGCTGTTCTGTTTCCGTCCAAATTTGATCGAAACTATCATCGCTGCGAAAAGATTGTAATTCCTCAAAAGTATCTGCTGTTAATAATGAAATAGTAGAGAAGTTAACGTTTTTTTTTTTTTTTTTTTGAAAATGTAGTGACAAGGAGTTAGTTAATTCAAACACTAATTTCATTAACTTTAAACAAAATATAAACTCAAAGTTTTGAATATTATTTAAAATTGAATTTGCATCAGGGCCATAAATAGAGTCTGTTTCAGTTATTTTTTCTAACGTTAAAACAATAGAATTAAAATTATTTATAACAGAACGAATAGCTTCTATTCGGCAACTCTATCTAGTCTCACTAAGTGATTTTAGCGTGATTTTTACCATAGAATAATATTACTCTATGGTTTTTACTCGATAATTGTGATAAAAGATTCTGTTATGATGTATTGCGGTAGCATATCGCATTTTGGAAAATGACAATAAATAAATACATTTTGAGTAATCAATTCATTTTTTTTCATTAGATAATTTTCTTAAAATACTACATTTTTCACTTTTCTTGAAAATAATTCTTACAATATTACAATGCCTTTTTAATAATAGTTTTCAAATACATATTTTTGTAAAATATTAAGGAGGCACTGCACTGTTAAATTGTTTGAGGAGGGAAGTTGCCCCCTCTCGCCCCCCCGTTTACGCCTATGCCTTTATCTTTTCCCATATCCTTCAAAACTTCATTTTAGGAGTTCTGCCATTTTTTTTTAAAAAATCATAAATAATTAAATAATTTTATCACCTACAAATTATATTAATAAATTTCAACATGGATTCATTAAAAAAAAGTTTTGAATTAATATTTCAATTCTTTATTAATATAATTAGGTACATCATCAATACAAGTACATGACGTGTCAATAAAATATCATGCAAAATATTTAGACATGACTATGTCCGTTTTAAGTATCAGTGGCGGATTTAAGAGTAAAATATTGGTCGGCAAACTGATATGAGGGGCGCCGATCTAAGGAGCTATAACTGCTAAATTTTAATGTTTATTCATTGACACACTAGGAGGACTAGGGGCTGGGACTTAAAACCATAATAAGCTCCTTCGAATATGTGTGTAAAATATTCATGTATCTGATAAAAATAGAATCTCATAATAATATATTTTTTTGGCCCCCAATTTTTTTATTATACTAAATGCCAATGTGCTAATATCTTTATGTAAGTACTAGTTTTGATATGCACAAGAACCGAAAAATCACAAATTCATAAATTATTTTTTTCATCTAATTGGTCATAAATATAATACATATAAAATAAGTTTATATACATGTTTAATATAATATTTTAGTATTTTTATTTTTATGAAATAAAGAATTTCCTTTTATAATAATGAGTTAACAACACTAAAAAAAAATCTATTCTTATATTTTTTAATTTTTATGACGATCGCGATCCTCGCGATAATTTCATCCACATTAAGTGCATCGAATACTCTAAGCAGAGTAAAGCTAAATCGCTCGTTTGTACCATGGTTAACTGTAAATAGTTTTTCAAACTTCGTAGCACACTCATTGCACGTTCAGTACTAGCATTTCCGATTAGTAATATCAAAAATAGTTTTAAAAGCGTTTAAAACTTTATACATAAAATTTATATATTGTATATTATAAAATTATAGAATTATAAAAATACCATTGATTAAATATAATTTTAAACTATATAGTATAATATACTATTAATCAATGTAACTTGTGTAGAGTAAGTTAGACAAGATAACTCACAACGTAGAAGTAGTCACAACACAGTACTCGCATAGTCATGTCAATGGTTGAAACACCAAACTCAAATGATCTTAAATTGTTATTGTTTGTTATTAAATAATATTTTTAAATACATTTGTGAAGACATAAAATATTATCATTGGTCAGTTTAATCTAAAACTTTAGATAGGTACAACTTAAATCAGTGCTTCCCAAACTTTTTCGATTCACGGCATCCTTTTTGATTTAAGGTTTTTTCAGTGCGCCCTTCTTTAAGTCATAGCATGACTAATCATAAGAAAAATGTTAGACCCGATAGTATTTTATGACGACGCGCTGCCCTTATACATATAACGCGGCGTACACTTTGGGAACCTATGCCTTACATAGTAAGATAGTAGATTGTAGATACCGATTACCGACTCATTGGATTATTCGCAATGATAATATTACAATGAAATAATAATATTATCAACTCATTTTATTTTTACATTGGGTATTCAATTAAGAGTCCTGT